AATGACTAACAGTCAGCATCACATTACAGACTCTACCCCATGTTAAGTAAAGGAGTGTGATTTGGGTGATTATTTAGGCAATCCTCCCCCCTCCTGCACAGGGGGAGTGAAGGGGGAAGTTCAGTGCAATCCAAGATCCGTGTTGTGAACTTGTACACAGCCACTGGTGATAAAAACAAATGGACCATAGAATAGGTTGCACTTTTTCTGGAATACCACAGTCAAGAGAAGTTTAGAGGGACAGAAAACCCACATATCTTCTCTTTTCTATTTTATCCTTTTTTTTCTGTCTTAATTTTTCTCTTTTGGGGCTCTTTTTTCCCCTATTTTTTTTAATATTATGGGCTATAAATGGCAGCCATTCACCAGCTGCTTCATGAGCAGCTGAGGATGGGAAACACTGAAACAACTCCAAGACAAATTTCCTCCACTTGTGAGTCAGTCTTTGGTGTTATGATAACCAAGGCTCAAAGATTGGCTGGGACTGGTCCTTGAGGCACTTCAGTTACTGGGCCCTAGCAGATATTAGTTAAGACAGTTTCTAATGAGAAAGTTTAGAAGCAAAGGAAAGATTGGAAATACTGCGAATGCTGTGGCTAAAATAAATACAATGTAAAATAAAGCAAGAGTGTGCTCTTTTTAAGAGAGAAGCCTGTGTTTGGATTAGGGTTCATGCCTGTGGCAATCCTCCTGTCCAGTCTTCTATTAAGGACTAGAATCAGATTAAGAGCACGTCCCTTAAGTGTTCTTCAGTGCCATTCAGCCTTGTCTCTGCAGCTTTCTACAAGTTCCCTGCAGACTTATTATGTCTAATAGTGAGGCATTCCTTGGCTACAGCTCTGGGGTCAGTGTTTTTCCCTGATGTTGCTTTGCTTTCCTAGCTGAAAAGAGGTGTTCAGAAAGGAACACCTTTTTTCTTTCAGAAAAGACAGAATAGGGGTGAGAATGGTGGTCTCCTTATTAGCAAATTCGTCTCTAACTGTATTCTCGTTGGCATTTGTATTGCTCTCCCATTTCAGTGTCTTTAATAAATATTTCCTTCAGAGAAACTGAAGGTCAGTCATTAAAGGATACATGGGAAATTGAGAAGTTCTTAAACAATGTGAAAGATCTACAGGGGACAGTGGGATGGCAGGGAGGGGAAATGGCCAGTGGTGAATGTAGAGAAGGTGCCTGAGGAGGGAAGGAAGGTAGAGAAAGTACAGGTGATGAAAAGCCAGAAGGATACAGCAGAGACCTAGAAAGCTGGGACAAGAAAAAGTCTGATGAAGTACAAAAGGAACAATGAAGAGGAGAAAAAAATAAAATTCAATTGTTCTCTACAAAGAATTTTCAAAGAAAATGCCTGTTTACTAACAATGACATTCTGCATTGTTTTTTAGTGTAGCACCAGTCAAGCAGAATCATGTCAGTGTAGTGCTTTAGGAGGTGGGAGAGGGATAGAGTGGCTTTATTGACAGGTAGGATAAGAAACTTGGAAAGTCAGGGTAGTTTTTCATTATCTGTTTGTTTGAAATAGCTCCCTACCTTCCACAGTCTGCCTGAAGTCTGATTTACTGTGTCACATCATCAAAACAAAATTGCAGTGTTGCTCCTTATCTAGATTAGAAGCCTGACTACTCTGATACTCCAGCCTGTGGATTTTCTACAAAAGGATGAAGTTCTGAAAGGATGGGATGGACACACAAATCCCACCTTTCAGCCCCATGGAGAGTTTTACTCCAAAGTAGAACTAAATTCCTCCTTTGATATTTTGAGTAACACAATATCAAAAAACAAACTGCAAACTGTCCCTTGCAAACAGAACCATGGGAATGTCCCTTTTGAGTTTTGTTTGGCAGGATTTGAGCCAAAGTGAACTATGACAAGTGCTTAATTGTGCTATAAAGGGAAACTTAAACTGTCTTTGGGTATGAAATAGAATATGCATGCTCTCTACATACTGTTTAGATAATACTTTGAGATGTTTTCTATACATGCTTGTTACCTCTGCAGCTGACCTTTGTAGGTATTTTACTTAGGATCCAAGTGCTGGTTTTATGAGCCCTCTGTATCACATCAGTATTAGTTCATTCATTTAAAATCTTTATCAACAGCCTGCTTTTAGTAGATCTGTTCAGGGATGGCATGAAATGAAAATAAGTACATATTTGGTTAAATCCTTTCTGCAGTCACTAAGAAAGTCAAACCTTACACTTCCCTGGTTGCAGGTGGAGTTACATGCACTTGATTTCCCCTGCTTACTTGCCCACTGCACAAAGAGCCAGCTGCATTTGGTGAACTCCTAGGGATTACAAGAAACCTGGCTTCTCTCCTTCAGCTGGTTTTAGTGGGCTTGAGGCATTCTTCAGGGGAGCTGCTAAGTCAGACAAGTGGTTTTCGTCTTTTCCGGGTGGAGACAAGGAAAGATTGCTGCCAAAATAGGAACTTGTTTGTTGATCTTTCAGCATTTACTGTTGCAAAGCATCTCGCTCAGAAGCGGTGCTGAACAGTAATGCTGAGGTTATTTCTTCTCATCAAGAACAACCTAATAACCTGTTCACCACTTGTTTTCTATTTTTTTTCAATTGCTCTCTGGAAAATTCCTGCCACGAAGACCTGTAAGACTACCATGGAAATCTTAGAAAATAGATTTGCTACCTCATAGCATCATATTTCCAGGAATGCATTGAGCAGAAGTAAGATTTACTAAAAGCTTGGGTTTTGAGCCCCCATGTGGGTTGCATATAGATGCTGTGTCAGGTCAACAGAGGGAAAATATTAATAAACACATGCTTATCACTGCCTTAAGTACTATTCTTGGATGCTTGAATTTATTTAGATGTGTAGGTGGTATTCTTAAACTTTAAAAATTATGCTACATGCTTTCATCTCCCACAGTACACTATTTGCTATCAATTACAAAAACATCAAAAGGTAAAAATTCCATCATTCAGTAATTCAGAAATCTGCTAACCTTGTGAACATTCAGATCCCTATTATTAAAACCTTTGTCTATCCAGCAAGTGACATCAAATGTCAAATGGCTTTTGGCATGCCAGGTATGGAATAAGCACAGAATCTTCTATCCATTTTCTGTTCTTTAGGGAATTACTTAAAAATAGAATGTCAGGGTTCGTACCTTGCATTTGCCAGTTTCCAATTCTGCTTTCTGGGCATGGGTTAGCCTCCTGTGCAGAAAACATTTGATGAACTGACTTGCTTTTCCATCAGTTTAGGTTTATTTTCATTACTTTTCCCTCTAATTCATTTATTGGATTCTGTATCTTTAGAAAATTTTATTACTCTGTTATTCAAGCTAAAAAATAGCTAATTTTTCTTTCCCAAATGAGTCGCTTGAAGCAAAGTACCTATGAATACATGGGTATTTTAATTCACTTACTAAATGTATACAGAGAAAATTTACAGGCAGCCTTTTTACCATTTTTTAAGTGTCTGCTGACTGTTGCATAAGCTAAATTATTTACAGTATGATGCCTCACAAAAGAGTAGCAGATTTGGGTTATTTACTTTCTTGATAAGAAAAAGGGATTGAAGTTGCTGTGATATGCTGCTTTGTTAATTTTATATTTGTTCCCTAGTGTGTAAAATCTTTTTAAAGAACTAACACGAGTATTGACAGACTCTTTTGAAATGGTATGGAAGTGGTAAGATTAAACAAAACATGAAAAGGTCTTAAAAATATAAGTCAGCAAGTATTTGATAAAAATAAAAGTGCTCAACAATAGAAAACCTTTAGGATGCTTAATTTATTTGCTCTCTATTTGAGAATGGCCCCTGCACTCCATCTGGGAGTAGTTCTTGCAAGTTATGTGTTTTGCATAATACCAGGCTGGGTTTATTGGGACAGTGTGTTTGTACAGTCTAATGAAAGCCATCCAAAATGGTCATGCTGGAGATCTCCCCTTAATGAGGAGATTAAAATCCACGGGGAGGTTGGAGAGTCAATTTGCAGCTGTGTTGCCTGACAAGATCCTTCGCCTGGAAGGCGTCGGTCCTCACCGTGTGCAGATGTGCAGGGTCTTCACAAGGTTTCTTTCTGCCCCTGCAGGTGCCCCAGACCCCTCTGGCACCGTGGCTCCTGTCATCCTCATCCCTCCACAGAACACCAGCGTCGTGGTGGGGAGCAGCGAAGTCACACTGGAGTGTGTGGCCAGTGCAAGGTACTGTAAAAGCCACAGCAGGGTTGTGAGGCACTGATTTTACTCCACTGTCCTTTAAGAAGGGCATAGGAAGTGATTTTCATTTTTTTTTTTTTTTATTAATTTAATGATTGAAGTAGAATGCTTGCTCTTCAAAGTAGCCTTATGAATCTTGTTTGTCCAACATTACTGAATTAAACATATTGATTTTTCTGGCCGAGTAAGGATACAGGCAGAGTTCCTTTTCCACCTGTTCCTCACACCACGAGGAAAAGAAGGATAGTGCTGTGCAACCAGCAGACACTGACTTAAAGAAAAAATTACGTTACAGGTTAATAATATTTCACCTGTATTGCCTATTGGCCTGAAAGGTGATATTGTTGAGCTCTCTGTGCTTCCTAGTAAATAAATTAGAGAAAATCTCCTATGAAGTAATTTATTACAGATGCTCTTATTTTACAGTGATTATTGCTCAGCTGTCCATAATGCACCATAATACAGAAATCACAGCATTCCTCTTACATTTCCATCTAGTTGGCCTTGAATGGCATTGAATTCCAGTGGAAGTGAATAGCTGAGGTCCTCAGATGGGAAGATGGCCAACTGACTCACTTTCCTCTCTGAGGACAAGGGTGTTCTTGATAAAATTAATATTGTTTTGGTAATTGAGTTATAATGAAAGCATTTCCTATGCAGCTGATTCCCATAGCAATATTTACTCCTTTTGCTCAGAGAAATCAAATTATTAATGCTTAAGTTCTATTGCTATATCAATTGGCTGTACTTGCATAATGCCACTTGAGTAGTCTGTAGTCTTAATGTGTAAAATTAGATATGCATGTACTTTTTAATAGTGAATGTCAGGGACAGAGGAAGATCCGGAGACGTTTTATAATCTGTATATAGCTGCAGACAAGATTATTCTGTAATATATATTTTATTGTTGCGTTCTTGTGTTTTGTTTTAAACCTAAACAGACCTTTTGAGAGATTAAGCATGACCTGGAAGAGAAATGGAATAAAAATAACCACTGGCATTAGCAGTTTTGGGAGACGACTCACGATCACCAACCCAACCTCTGCTGATGTGGGGATGTATGTCTGTGAAGCTGAATTGAGAGACAGCACAGAGGAACCAGCAAGAGCAAAAGCCTTCCTTTCTATCATGGGTAATTCTCAAGGCAATGTGGTTTTTAGTAGAAGAGGCTCTGGACTGTATAATAGGAAATAAAATTGATATCTTAATATTTCATTGACCTTATATTTGAACCTTCCTTTGGAGAACAAAACAAAGGAGGTGAAAGAGGGTTATCTTACAAATTAATTCAAATCTTCTTCCCCATGAGTAGAAAGTCATCAAGAAGATTATTTTTTTTTAAACACTGATGTGATTCTGAATCCTCTGTGAAACTTTACAATTAATCAGAAGTTGGAGGAATACAGTGCTAAAATCCTTATTGGGCACCTTCCACATCTTGGCTTTTAGATGCATTAAATACTGGTTACCTCCCAACTTTCTTATATCTAGTTTTAATATGTCAAGTGCCTTCATTTCCAAAAGAAGCCTTCTAGGACCACTTCAGTGCATTGTCTGCTGCAAGTGCCAGATGAGGAGGCAGGGACGTTCCTGGGCACACAAGCAGACAGGTACCATTACCTGAGGTAGCAAAAGGGAGGAGGAAACACCATTAGAATTGGTGCTACGTGCTAGACCTCTGACTCCAAAAGAGACTTTAGACTTAATGTTTTTAGAAGGATGTTGGTGTCCTTTCACTGCCTGCTTCTACCATCACCTCTGTGCTGGAGCCACCATCACCTCTGTGCTGGAGTTTTGCTGGTGAGGCTGTCATTTGGAAATGGTAGTTAGAAGGCATGTCGTATCCTAATAGAATCATGTAAATTAGCACACTGCACACAGTATAGAGGTTTTTAGGACTTTTAGAATGAGAGACATTTTAGAACACAGATATTTAGATGTTTTAAGCCAGAGCTGATGGCTTCAAGTCTAGCTTTAATGTAATAGCCCCAATAATAACTGTGCAAGTGTCCCGAAGAGGTTATTGCTCTGGCAGTGGTACAAGTCTCAGCGTTGATCAGAATTCATGCACATGCATTTCTGTAGTGCATTGCAGAGGGAATTCAGCACACAATTCTCTACACTCGTTTAGCCTTCTGAAAATACAATTTTAGAGACTGCTGTACGGTCTGTATTGTACTAAAGCAATTTATAGTGGCTGATGCTAAATGAGAAAACAGCTTCTCTCTCTACAAAGCTCTGTTCCAAGTTAATTTGTGTCACTGTGTCTCTATTATATTTATTACTTACTGGATGAAGTTTGGTTCCAGTCTTTTTCTTTGTACTCTGTTTCTTAGAATTATTACCTTGAGGCTTCCCCTGCCTTTAAGGAGCAGAGGAGGATTTCACTTATTCATGGTTTTTGTTTAAACTCTTCCTTATTCATAAGATTTTATTGTAACTATTTTAACTTTGCTGCTGTGCTGTCAGATCCAGTCTAATGCAATACTTAAAGCAACCTCTCAGTTAATGTAAAAGATTCTTAAATACAGTTACAATAAAACTGAGAAACAATCATTGGGGAATCATATTAAACTAGCAGTGCTGCTTTTCTTTAGGAGCTCATCTGCTCTCTTATTTTTAAATGTTTTATTTATTTCTCATCCAGTTTTAGGGGGCTGTCAGGGTATGAAGTTATGAAAAGGCCTGTAGATAAGAACAAGCAGATGAAAGAAAGCAGAAACAAATTGGTTACCAATTACTTTTATTTCCTTCTGATGGAACAAGACACTTCAGTTGCAGGTGTTTACTCAATGTGTCAGCAAAGCCTGATAGATTTCTTTATTTATGAGTTTCTTGAGCTGCAGGATGGATCTCTAATTCTAAACAGGAAACCAAATCAAAGGATTAGTAGTTAATGCATAACTTATATTCACCCTTAGAATTCTTGGATGGATCTGGCCGTCATTTAATTAGTCAAGGGATGGGTTCTAGAGGAAAGTGCAGACAAAATTCAAACCTAAGGATTTTTACAGTGTATCCCTCATAGTCTGTTGGAGCAGTACTTAACAGAGAATGAAGTGTGCTTGTCCCTTTGCATGCATAAAATATCCCTAGTGTGTACATGTTGATAGTGACCTGATAATGAGCTGTACTTGGGAGAATAACACAGTGTGGACTTAATAAGGGGTTGTGACTAACAGAAGAAATGAAATTGTTTTGTTAGAAAAGGTTTATTTTCAAAATGATTTAGATAACTTAGACACAGACCCTCAGTAGGGTCTGATGATGAGAGATTTTGTGGATAAAAAAAAATATTTTGTTATTAACAGGTAGAATAGTGCTAGTGAAAAACAGATGCATCAAAGATATGACAAATACTGAGTTCATCAAAGCTTTTTTTGTAAATACATCCATCCTTGCCTCTCCCAGCAAAGGCAAGTCACACAATTTGCTTGCGGGCTCAGAGGGGGACAAGAGCTTTATTAGAAGGCAGTGGAACTGAGTACTAAGGCACGTACTCACTTCAAATTATTATTTGGGATCTACAGTATTGCATTGGAAATTTTTTTCTGAATACTTCTGAGGGTACATCTCAGTTTGTAAATTAAAATCACAGTAATATTTGAAAAAACTGGCTCTCTAGTGTAATAAAGTAGTACTGCATAAGCAAGAAGAAAATCCTGTAGTCTCGTGCTGCACTGCAATTTTCTTCTGAATGTGGCAAAGAGCTTTCTGACATCTTCATATTGTTTCTGCAAAGATAAACTGAGGTGGTTCCAAACGTTGGTTTTATTAGCTGCAGTTGTTATAAATTTTTAAAGGGTAGCATGTTCCTCTGCTGGCAGAGTAACAGTTTGGGAAAGATTTGTTGCAGATTAGATAAGAGCACATTTGTTTTATCACTAACAGTTTGAAGATTAAGTAATTTAAAGAGTCTTCTCGTGAACAAACCAATTTGAAAACTGAGCTAACGTTAAATTCTTTTGCTCTGAGTTCTGCAAGTTCCACTAGCGACAAAGTGCAATAGTGATTTCTTGAAGTGATTCTTTTATGGGAAATCATTAATTTTAGGAGCTTTAGAAAATGAGGAATGAGACCTTCCACTACATGAAAGCTATACTAGTCTTTAAATTAGATGCAGTCAGAAGTAAAATCTGAACAAAATGAGGAGCTAAACAATTAGAGTGGCTTGGTATGATGAGGTGTTGTACAGAACTGGGTGTTGAAGCCCTGTTGGCCTGGCCAAAGGAACAGGATGGAATGAAGTAGAATCACATTAGAGGGCTTCCTTTCTTTTTGGAGCAGTATTTTTGCCCAAGGAACTACATTAATAGGCATATTCTCATCTTGGTATTTCCTAGGGAGAATTTTTACATGTTAGCTGGATAGATTTCTTTCTGAAAATAGGATGATAAGGGGATGTTTTAGGTCTGTGTCTTTCCTAAAGGCTGCCCTGGTTCTCAGCAGGTGTGAAGGATACAGTTTCTGCGGGATCACCGGATTTGGGAACATATCAGAAAAATTGTCACATTAGTATGGAGGGCCCTCCTCGGGCTCTGAGGTGCTGATTTTGTTCAGGTATTGTGCTTAAGTAAAGACCATGATGACTGTGTTCATGTACTTGCTTAAGAAGAGAATAAGAGTTTTCAGGAAATCTGTAATATAAAATATCTTTGGTCTTGCCTAAGCTTCAGTTTGGTCTCAAAGCAGAGAAATACTGACTATTTTTGATTTGGCGAGCCTCAGAGGTTGACAAGAAGGACAGAGACATGTTGCGTTGTGCCCAAATGCACACAGGACCTATACCACGGTGGAGCAGTGGGACTCTTGGGAAGTCCAGTTCCATCTCTGACACTGAGGAGAAGTTCCCCCTTCTTTCAGTTCTGCAAACAGGACATGTGTTCCCTGTGCTGTTACAAGGTTTTAGAACGCACAGACTGCAGCTCTCAGTAGGGGTAGTAGCAAGAAACTAAGAGTACCTTTTCATCTCTTTCTGTTTTAGCCTGATATTCATGCAAAGAAAACTCCTGCTTCAAGGAACCTATTATACCTGCATATATAATGTGACTTCTCTCCCAGCATGGACAGTCTGATCTACTGTCTGGAGTTACAGACTTTGTACTTACAAAGGGCTCTCAAGTTTCCAGTTTCCCTTTCTTCACAGGATATTCACCAAATAAATTGGTTTATGGTAATACTAGAGAAAGGCTTCCATGTTTAAGGCTCAATTGTCCTCCTAAATATGCAGGCCTGAATTTCTGAGTGATGCAGGAATTTCAGCTTTAGAGGAGCCCCTGGGGCTTTCTCTGTTCTTTCTGACTTTCATGTGTGTATCTAGGATTAGGTCACCTATCTCCAGTGCAGCTTGAAGGGTATGTAACGGATGCTGACTTCTATCTTTTGAATGTTAAAGTCAGTGACCATGTAACTCGACGTGGGGGAAGTTAGAACAGTATCAAATTCTGCAGGCTCCCGGGGGCTTTGCAGAGAGGCTATCTTTCCAATGATGTCTGTAGTGCAAAAACAACCCCGAAACCCTCAACAGCTATTAAAAGTATGCATTTATATTCAAATATTCTTTTTCCACTTTGCTTGTTCTCGACCTTTTAGTTATGATCAAAGACCAATACAATATCTAGACAATACAGTGTCTGGTCCTTTCAGGCTAAGATGAGATGTGACCCCTCTCGTTGCACAGCACGCTGCACTGCCAGCAGGGTGAACTTGGCCTAACAGATCCTTTCCTTTGCTAACTATCATAATTCTGCAGTTTAAAAAAAATATCAAGGTTTGACCTGATGCAAACAGATTGCTGTCATTCCTGGAAATCACTGTGTCTGGGGGCTTGTGGCTGGCAGGTTATATAGTTTGGAAGACGACGTAATTTCACCACACATATTAAATTTCAACACGCGATTATTGTCTACAACAATAAATGTTCAAAGTCATATTTTGTGATTCAAAACAGGCCTTATAAATATGCAGGAGAGTCATATATAGAGACAGCCAGAATGCCCCTTCAGAATGCTTTCTGACCCCTGTAAATATTGCTGTAGTTTTGTGGCCTCTTTCTGATAGTTATTCACCAGGTGGAGTTACAGCACCCAAACTGAGGTATCCTGAAGTTTTCACTTGCAATTTATGCTGGCACAGCACCTGATGTGCAGGTGATACATCTGACTCATCTGAGAACAGGGAGTCTGGATTTTAGTTGTCTAGCACCTATAACTAGAGTTATTTCTTCTGCAACCCAAATCCTGCTGAAGCCATGGGCCCTCACTGCAAAGGACCTCTTGAGAATCTGTGTTGCTACCATGAGACCCATGAATGTGGAAAAGCAGCATGGCTGGCATAGAAATCACTGTTTCCTTTCCCTCAAAGCCCTAAGAGTATGTCTACACCAAAACGTCTGTGCTTCTCTCATCCTTTAAATCACCAAGACTAATTTTCCATGTATATTAGACTTAAGATGCCATGCACTGTTGTGGTATTCCAGATATTCCAGAATTCCTGTATAAATTAGTCTTGTCTTCCCATCCAGGCTTATCTCTAACTCCAGGCCGCCAAAGCAGGTAGTAAATTGTAGAGCTGCTTCTTGAAGCTTTTCCATATCTGTGCTTATCATGCAAAAATAAGATCTGACCCCTCTGTAGGCATTTGTTGCCTCAGCCTTTTGATTTTTTTATGTTAGATGTACCATTTGGCAGGGCTTCCAGCTGCTGGAATGGCTGTGTAAGGCTTTAGTGTAAGGGAAAAGGTGGGTCTGGGCTTGATGAAGAGAGGAAATCATGTCTGTTGGCTCACCTACACCCCAAAAGTCCTGTGGGAGTTGCCTGTCGTCTTTAAATTGCATCTTTTTGCTGCTCCTGCTCTTTTTCTGTCTTGTCTGCTTCCGTTTCTTTCAGCTTCTTTCAAAAAAAGCTGATGTGAATCTTCCTTTTATAACATCACATCCCATTTGCTAAGTGACAGTTGTCACTGACTTCAGGTTCCTTGTCAGGTAATTCATTGCTTGATACCTGCTCACCTAAGCATCTCTTAATGTAATAAGTTTCTTCGAGGGTGGCATAACAACCTATATGGGATTTAAAGGAAGGAGCTCAGATTGTAAAATAGGATTTTGGTAGAGGGACTGGGTAAGCAGACTGTATAAATATGCCAACTTGTAATACATAAGCAGTGGTCATGGAACCACTAGCACCTTTGAGGTCACAGTAAGTAGTTTGCAGCTGGACCACAGGCCCATGTTGAAGATAAATCTGCAAATTTATTGCTGTTGTATGAACAAGTTGCTGATCTAGGAGAAATTTTGAGACCTGGCAGATGAGGGTTGCCAAGTTTAGATTTTTTGCCCATTAAGGTACGAGTGCCCTATAAAAGGCAGGATGGAAGATGTGCAGTCAAGAATTCCCTAAAAGGGGGAAAATACACTTGAACCTGAAGAGACATCCATAGAAGCAGCCCAGAGATAGAAGTGAATGTCTGGATGTTGGGGAGGTGTGTCTGGATGCTGTCTTGCTCCTGCACTGCTTTGGCCACATTTCCCCTCTTCCTCCCCTCACAATCAAATTAAATTGTCATGAAACAAAAAATTCAAAAATTGTTTTGGGAGATGGACAGGAGGACACTCACCTTTGTGTGCACAGAGAGATACACAGCTAAGTATGGACATCATGCTAAAAGCTTGGAAATGGAAACGATAAAATTCTGGGAAGCAGAGCCCAAAGGAAGCATCAGACAAAGCTGGGCGGATGGCATGAGAAGAAAGACTGGATTCAGAGTCAGAACGTGGACTTAGATGAATTGCAGAGGACTCATCAGCTTAGCTGATCAGCCATGTCAAAGGCAGTGTGCCAGCAGTGAACTGCAACTCAACGCTCAGCTTTTCCGTTGGCTGTTTAGAGTAACGCATGAGGTCATAGGCAATAAATCACAGCTTATTATGCATGTTTATTAATAGCTTTATATTTAGGCAGTGAGGATCAATAATGTTAACACATGTATATTATTAGAATATAATAAATCAGGTAGCTTGTTTTATTGGTTTTGCTGGGTAAATGAGCATTCCAGGCTGTTTTGCAGCCTCGCCTCCTCCGCGCAAGATTTTGAAGACTAATATTGATTGACTTCATTTGGATTGAATACAGAATGGTAATATCCTTTGGTGCTCAAATGAGACCCCAGTTCTGTACACTCAAGCAAGTATTTTATGGTAGTTAGTGGGCAGGACAGCTGGGAAAGGGAGTTTTGCATTCTAATCCAGTGCTTCCTGAAGTGTACTAGCTGATGTGTCACATCGTCCCTGTGAATTCCTAACACTTCCTATGCTAGAGGTTGTAGCAGGAGAAGTAAGATTTTGCAGGATAAGGTTATGTGACTGTGGTTTACTTTATGAAACTGTGGTTGTCCTGTCAGTCTGGTTTTCAGACTTGAAGCTGCACATTTGGCTTTCAGATGTGGTTAGTGAAGAATTTTGGGAGAAAGTCAACTCAGGTGATCTTGGATCTTGTTGGAGCTCACTACGTTTACTTCAAACATACTTGATTTCCTTAAAATGAAAATACAAGTAGCTTGTCCTCATGAGCTACTTATACTGTCTTTTCTGTATTTCCTAAAACTTTCCACTGAGTTTGTCTCTGCTACAATAGAACTCTAGTATAATCAAATAAAATGCTTTTAAAAACAGTACTCAGATGCTAATTGAATTGAACAGACTATGACAGTTTTTAGTTACCACTATAATTGCTGCAACCTTAATGCCTGTGGGACTTTGAATGATGCTCTTCAATTTTATGCTGCATAGAAGAAAGAGTTACATGTCAGTATACTCTACAATTTCTGGAATCTTATCTTTGTTTAATTAAACAGCTAATATATTTTCTTTAGTCCTAATGATAAAATGTGGATTTTTATGATTATTACTATAACTTCAATTAAAGCATTAGATCTGTTTGTTTTCAATAAATAAAAGAGTTGAGGAGAATTTTTTATAATGATGCCACACTTGTCCTTTGATGTTGGCTCTCTGACATGCTGTGGCACTTTATTTGGCATGCTTCATGCCTTCATGAGGTGGAGTTTTGTGTAGATACTGAAGCAAACTATCCTATAAAATGTTGTGTTGTAAATATAAACATTTATAAACCTCTTGGTAGAGCCTTTCTGAATGAAGAATTAAAATGCTCCATGATTCAGGCCTATAAATTGAAAAGTAGCCCCTGCTCTGAGTATTAATTTTCAGTGCAAATCCCTAAATCTTACCTTACATTGACTTGACACTTTGGAATTCTCAGCATAGCAAAAACTCCTGACTTTTTTATGATTCTTTTACTACCAGAAAAAGCACCTCCAAATAGAGATGAGCTTAGCCAAACCAGTCTGTCTGTAACACTATAATAAATACAACACCCATGGAAAGGTTATATGATAAATGTCTCTTAAATCAACACCTATTTTTCATTTTGCTGTGGCTTGGTTTGTTTACATCTGTTTGCTTTCCCTGTTCCAAAGAACCACCATATTTTACGGCTGAACCTGAGGCTGTGATTTTGGCTGAAGTGGAGCAAGACGTGGACATCCTGTGCCAGGCGATGGGTGAGTGTGCAGGCGTGTTTGAACTTGGGTTAATGATAGCCCTACAGCCAGTGTTTTTCTAAAAATGATGGAATTTTTATACTCAATAAAAATGTCGTAACTCTGCCGTTTCATTGTAGTTAAGAATTCTGCAGGAGGACTATTAGAGGCAGCTTTTAATTGGCAGGTGCTTTAATAACAGAAAAGGCTTCACATGTCTAGAATTCCACCTAAACCAAAATGGTTTTTAAGAAATAGAAGCACCAGCTATTTTATCACTCTAGTAATACAGGAGGCATCGTAGTCCTGTGATTGGAAGAAGTTTGTCTATATCACCAAATTGCTGCAGCAAGCAAGTAGCTTTTTATTGTCTTGCTTCCCCTGATGCTGTTTAACAAGCAATACACATAAAAATGCCTTGAGATCCTTAGGTAAAAAGTAAACAACCTTGATTAAAAAAAACACCCAAACTTAACTAAGAGCTTGCTTGGATGTGTTCTTTCTTCAGATCATGGCCAATAATGATATTCTTTGTTATGTGATTGTATTATTTCCACTATGATTTAAAAAAAAAAAAAATGTAATGCTTTCTGTAGGAAAGAGTCTGCCTTGCTTTTCTAGAAGGAAGCTTTGCAAATAGTGTGATAAGCAGGCACGTGTGTAAGGGTGCTCTGGTTGCTTTGGAATTTCAGAAGCTTTTGATGAGATCTCTTGTCAAAAGGCTCTTCTGCAAATGAAGCTAGCAGGCTCTAAGAGAAAAGGTCTTGTTGTTAATTAATAGCTTTTTAAACAGAACACAGCAGGACCTGCTGTCAGCGGAGTATCCCAGGAACCTCTTCTGGAACCTGTGCTGTTCAACATACTCATAAATGCCCTGGAACAGAGGTTCAAATACTCTGATAGTAATATTTTCTGATGATATAAAATTATCCAAGATAGTCAACATTAGAACTGATTGCAAGAGAGCTACAGTTCTGATGATTTGAAGTGACTGGACTATAAACTGGCAGATGAAATTATTGATAGAGCTGAAATCCCATTACTATGCAGAAAAGGTATGTCTTCTGAAAACATCAGGTCAGTGCCAAGCCATGCTTCAAAATGTTAGGGGGGGAAAAAATAAGAGAATGCCACTGGCTAATTCCCTGGGACACCCCCGTCTCAAATACTTGACACAACACTCATCACTCCAGTGGAGAGAGAAATGTAGAAAAACTATACCAAAAAATAAAATACACAAAAGCAGGAACGGTATAATTAAAGGTCTGTGGGGGGCTTTGAATACTGAAAAATTGAACTGGAACCCTTTGTGAAAGAGAACACTGAAGGGAAGGTGAGTGGGAGAAGCTGATTCCTTATTGCTTAGTGCAGGAAGTAAAGGAGGTGCCTTGGCCACACAACCTTTAATATTCAGGTAGATGTGTGATAAAGGAAAGAGTACATTTTCAGAAAACACAAGCTGTGGAGGTCATTGGTCCAGGCAGTAGTAAAGAACAGAAATAAAAATTATTTAGAAAAACAAACAAAATTTATGGGAGAAAAATCCAGTAAGGACTATTAAACACAGCTCTGTCTGTGCAGCTGCTGGTTCAGGAAATAGCTAAAGCAGAGATTACTGGAGCTGAGAACGTGGAAATAGCATTCTGTCCTTGAGCTGTTCTTGCATTTTGTGCCTGAGCATCCAAGAGAAGACAATTTCAAAGGAAGGGAAAGCGGCTAGATAGATGTTTATTCTGGTCATGTGCCACCAACTTTGTTTCAGCATGTGTTATGACAAACATATCAGTGCTTTTTTTGTTGGAGAATGTTTTTTCAAGCAGCAGAATTAAAATAAATTTTTGTATCGTTAAAGAAATTAACTTTAAAAATCATTCTGAGATTTTATTTTTAAAACGCTTCTGTTCTGCACAACTATTTGATGAATCTCTGGACTATCTCACTACCACTGGAAAAAAACTATCTGCTGTCTCAAATGTTTTTCATGTATTACAAAAAAAATCCCTGGAGGAATCAGGGGGAGAAGATGTTGACTTCTAACTCATCCTTCTACCCTAACTCTTCCTTTGAGCTGCTGAGCTCCCGAGGGGATTAATGGGGTGCTCATAACCATTCTCAGTAGATGAGGTCTTACCTGGAGATATGGGAACCTGTGTTGAACAAAGTAATTTACTTCTGCTGAACTCTTCTAGTGCCCATCTGATTTGCTGATGAATGTGGTGCAGGAGCGTGGAAACCTGTCTTCACATGGATTATTTTGCTGAGTATCTATAAAACAGACTTGTAAAGGGCAGGTACTAGAATTAACCATAGAGGAGTTTTGATCCATTATTGTACAAATCTGGCAATTGTTAGCATTTAAATTGGGGGTAAATGAAGGTTGCTGTCTCCCAGCTCCAGGCTAGGAGCTAGAATAAAGCACGAGGGGAACTGCAGAGCTGCCCTGTGTCTTTGCTACAAACAGGAAGACAGATTTTATTTTCCCCAGCTCCATCAAGTTCTGTTCACAAAGCCCATTTGCCGAGTCTTGGTGCACTTTGAATGTGTGAGAGACAGATTAATTTCACAGTATAAGCAGAGATTAACTGTAAATAAAATTGCAACTTGCACAGACTAGCTTTATACTTCCCTGTGATGGGGTTTGTGTATCAGCCTGTGCAGTAACCATGCTCTGCTGTATATCTTTCAGCAGTCACTGATGCTGCCTGCATTTGGAATGGGTTCCCTCTAAATGCTTTTTCTTATTTGCTTATAGAAAGTTCAGAGCTGCAGGCAGTGGTGGTAGTGTCTAGGGAGTGCATTTAATTGGACTTTAGTTCTACCTGTTTAGACAAGTAGATGGAAAGATGCTTCTGGGATTCCCCAGTAGCCCACTGGGATCTAGAGAAGGCTATAAAAAATAAATAACAAAAGTGACACAGTGCATGTTTTGAGTCTTTTATCCAGGTTCTTCAGTAAGTTAAATCTGGCAAACAGTCAAGCATCTGTTTCACAGATGGGGAAACTGAGCCTCAGATTGCATAAATTATTTGCCTGAGGTTACAGAGAAAGTGGCAAAGCCAGAACCAGAGTCTAAGTTCTCTGCCTTCCCTTCTCCATAGCATGAATTTGTCTGTGAAAAATGAATAGTGCTGTATACACGCTGAGAAATAAGCTTATTTTATTTATTATTACTAGTCTTTTAGGCCACTCTGTAATCTTTCAAATGGTAAGGTACAACTGAAACTGCTTGGAAGGTGTAGTCTAAAAGGTCTTTAAAGTGTATTCTTTTGTTTGTAACTTTTTCACCAGAAGAGCTGAGAGGAAAAGAAGCAAAATTCCTTTGGGGGTGTGGAGAGAGGGAAGACTGTGATACAAGAGGGAGAGAAGAAAGGCAGCTGAATTTAACCATTTTTATGGCCAAAGAGGCAGCAAAATGATAAAAGAAAATGTGTCCAATTTGGAAGACAAATCTCTCTGGGAAGATCACTGAAGCCCAAATGAATGCTGCTGCCAGGCATCAGAGTGCTTAGATAAGATCCTATTATTCAGACTCATAACTTTGAGTAGAAGAAGATATCCGTAACTGAAATGTAGAAAAATAGAGATTGTAATATTCAGTTTGTCAGCTGAGTTGGTGATAGGAAGGTGTATCTCACAGTGATTATAGGATTAGAAGGTTTGCTAATACTGTTAGTAGAATGGGATTTATGGAATGACACCAGTGTTAAAGGTTTGAGTGTACTGAATGCAGGATTTCATTATTTCCTAGGTGCCTATCAAGTCTAATGCACAGGAAAATGAAGTTGCTATTATTTAAACTTGAAATCATTTCCAGGCTTCTCAGCATCAGGAGAACTATTCTATTTTGCATCATCTGTTTCTTCATTACTCAGTGATAATTTGTATGTGCCCAGGAGGATTTTCAAGAGATGAATAACCCTCTCACTGAGAATTCTGAGCATTGAAATTTACCCTAATTCTGTGTATGGGCTGTTGCATGAATACACTGTGTCTATTCTCTACCAGACAATGCACTCTATATCGTGGATCCCTTCCTGAGATGATTACCTTCTAGATTATGAGTACATTTTATTTTTATCAGCAGAATAAAAGCATCAGAGTTAGTTGTAGTAAACGCTACATGTTTGTAAAAGTAACAGCAGCAATTGAATGTTTTTTTTCAATCTTTCCATGCGTTGTTTGTACATTCTTTCCAGGAGTTAATACAGCTTTTGTCTGCATAAAGTGAATAAGTACACTGAGAGGAGATATGAATGGAAGTATAACACATTAGTATTTAACTTCAGGGTTTTTAAAGTTATAATGATGATAATATAGATCTTCCCAAAGCACTTTTGTGCTGAGAACCTCAAGTCATTGCCAAGATTGAAGGGAAACTTGCTGTCTGCAGATGCTCTCTTCATCAGTGACATCCCATCCTTAGTGCTTCTGTCATAACCCTGCTTTTCTCTGTTTGGGCAAATTTCACTCACCCATGAATTTAAGTCTGTAGTTCGTGACCATATTACAAGGGAGTGTGAAGCTCTGAGGTTCTAAGTGGTATGTGTTCAAAAATAGCTGCCAATTATGAAAAAGCCATGTTTGAGCCTGATAACTAAAATCAGCTTGATACCCTTGTGATCCTGTGATTATCCAATCACTTAATAAAATACCTGCTTCATTTCAGCTTCCTGTATAGGGCACTCAGCATTTGATCAGTGAGGGATTTCTGGGATGTAGAGATAAAACACTGTCTGATATGAGGAGTGAGGTGGGAACATCTGTGTATGACTGTTCTAGGACCCTGACATATCTCAAAGTAAAGAGAATCCTACATTAAATTTACAGACATTTCATCCCAGCTGGCTGGGCTAGGACTGCAGCAAAAAAAGTATGAAATAACCGTGTCAGTGCTTGTGGAATATGCTCATGGAAGAGAACACAAATAAACAGGACTGTGAGCTATATCTAGAGTAGGATTTTTGTTTCTCCTAATGCCTGCATTTTTTCAAATAACAGGTGAAGCTTGATAATGAATAAAAATAATAATTTAAAGCTATGCCATTGTTGGCAAGATGTTGTTTGTACATCAGCTCAAGCTAAACTGCCGAACTGGGACTTGGAGCCATGTGAGCACTTTATTTTTCATGTGTAAATTGCCATTTCCTTTTTATTTTGACATCTTAGCTACAGTAGCACAGAAGAATCTTATTTGGGATGGAACAGCCTTAAAGACTTGCTGCATTGCCACACTGCTGCTGTTTAAGCAGCATGATTCTGGCTTTCAATGTGAAATTGCTCTAAATCTTATTTTGTAGTAGCATGAAATATGATTGGGTGAAGAAAGTGATTTGATAACATGTTTTCTCAACATTCCCTCTTTCACTGTTTGCTGGTTTTATTCCCACATGTTCTGCAGTGTATTATTACCATTGATAATGTAAGAAGCAGCCTCCACTTATCAAAAGCAGCTTGTAAAACTCTAAATAATTTGTGTAGAAGGATGGGAAACCAGGGATATGCCCGTAACAGTGCTGGGTATTTTGACTACCTAAAACATGGTTTGCAAAGACTAATAGTGATATGATTCTTTCTTTTTATTGTCTGATAGGTGTTCCCATCCCCACCCTGGTCTGGTACAAGGACTCTGTTCCTCTCAGCAAGCTAGAAAACCCCCGCTACAAGGTGCTGCTGAGCGGTGGGCTGCGGATCCACGCCCTGCGTCCTCAGGATGCTGGGATCTTCCAGTGTTTTGCCAGCAATAAAGCTGGGGAAATACAGACATACACCTACCTGGATGTGACTAGTGAGTAAGGAGTTGTGATAAGAGATCGATGAGCTGTCTTGTCCTCTCTGTAGGTGATCCCACATCCATCAGATTTCTCCACTGCTCTTTGCTTGCTTAGTTCAATTCACAGAACCTTCATTTCTGTCAAGTGTACCTGCCCTTAGCTATAAGGCACCCCAAAATGCCCTCTGTGGTCTGAACACAAACTGCTGACGCCTGTAGTAAAACTGTCCATGGCATTGGGGGCTTGAGGTGAACTTTATTTCACACTGTTAATGGAGAACGTAGTGAAAATAAAAAAAAAAAAAAGAGGTTAACTGTGAAATACTTTCATCTTTCCTTATACTTAAATAATTTAGTTCTAATGTAAATCTGTTCTGACTTTGAGCTACTGCTTTCATGATTGTGCATGGTATCATTTTAACTGCCTTTTGTCTACAACTCCATTTAGTTAAGGACAGAAAGTTCAAGTTAAACATCTTTTTTTTAGCCAAAAAGTCTGATTAAATAGTTTTATTAATGAAAATACACTTTTCTCTATGGAAGAATTAGAAATCCTAGTAGTCTCTTCTAAAAGTGATAATTAACAGGCATTTCTGTAATACTATAACTCCTCCTCAGTAAGCTGATTTTTCGCCCAAGACAGTTTACACATACTGACCAGAATTCCTACTGGCCTCAGAAAATAGATCAACCCCAGTTATATATATATAGGAAACTGCAGGAAAAAAATACAGTAAAATGCAGCTAGGGGGAAATAAGAGAGAAAAGAAACTTGGGAAATATCTTGGATGAGACTCAGGTTCTAAATTCTTTTGGCTGACATTTAAGTTTCAAAGTTAATGCCTTTCTCAAGTTGCTTTTCATCTTAAAGAACTCAGTTATGAAGATGAAAGAAAATAGTTTTGTTTATCTAGATTTTTAAACTTCCCCCTAAACGCTCATTTTGAGCTTTATCCTCCTTTTTTTTTTTTCTAAGCCATCTTGCTTGTACATGTACAAGCACTGATAGATTTTTACCTTTCATGTAGGTAATAAACTGAATTAGCCAATTCCTAGGAGATGTATAATGAAAGGTTACAGTCACTGCTGAAGGGTTTTCAGGTATTACTGTCATGTCCTTCTCCGTGATCAGCTCTGTAAAAGTGGATGTAAAGTACTCCATCATAATAGGTAAGGGATCTTCCTGATAGCTGATGCATTGAATTTTTTTAATATTTGATTCCAGACATTAAACCAGCATTTATCCAGCCTCCTGAGGACACCACTGTTACAGAGGGGATGACCGCCGTGCTCACCTGCCAAGTTTCAGGGGCTCCCAAACCTGCCATCTCATGGAAGAAAGGTAGCCTGTTACTAAGCTGTTGTGTCATCCACGTTTTCTTATCCAGTCCTGTTGTTGAGATCCTGTAGATCCATTGAGTTCTTATTCCTTCGTTTCCCTGGCTCTGCGAGCAGAGGGGTTGTCGTGGGGCCGCTGTGAGCCAGTGGCCTGGACAGGCTGTAGCAGTCTTTTGGAAGAACTAGAATTGCAGTGCTTCATCCCTGCAGTCTACGTGACACTAATCATGCTGTTCTTCCCTTCTGTGTTTCAGGAGAGCAGATCTTAGCCAGTGGCTCAGTTCAGATGCCTCGGTTCATTCTCCTTGAGTCTGGAGGGCTCCAGATAACACCCGTTTTCCTCCAGGATGCTGGCAATTATACTTGCTGTGCAGTCAACTCTGAAGGAGCTCTGAATGCTTTTGTGATGCTGACAGTGTGGAGTAAGGATAATGCTTTGTTTAAAGTCTAACTTTAATCAAGTATTAATCACTTTTTGTTGTATGCTCAGGAAATTTTCATAAGTAATTATGCTTCACTCGTTAATAGAGATACTTGTATGATTTAATAGGAATAATGTATCTATTTTAGGAAACCTATCACAAATACCTTTTTTGTTTGTAAAATTATGCATATAAACTTTTATATTTTGTGAAAGGAAGGGCATTTAAATAGCTTTTCAGTCACAATTACAATTTCACTCAGGTTTTGCCTTGGCAAATCTCGCATTGCAAATCAGACCTTTTAACTGGTAGAGCTGGGTATTTGCAGTTGATTTCTGCCTCCAGGAGTCTGCAGGCAGTAGAGACCAGCCCATGCTGTTAGTAAGCCCGTGGCCACAGTTACAAGATATGATTTTCCTCACACCTTTGTATTTTTCTTTGGCCCTGGGCACTGTTGAAAGCCAAACCAAAGTACAGCAGGCTTCAGCTAGTCTCTCATGCTGCAGAGTGGCATGGCACAGGGCAACCAAGCAATGATTTTGTTCTTCACCATTTGCACTTAATCTTGATTTTTTTAATTTATTCTGTTGGGGAATAGAGTCTCATCTGACAAGTTCACCTGTGTTACTCCTGAGTAAGTTAAATTAAGTGTAACCTGGTTTTTTTGCTACTAAAAGGTAGGAAATGATGACGCCTGAGCTGGGACTAAAAATAATTTAAAACAATGAAGATGATGATGGTAGATACAGAAGTGTTGCAGCCCTCTGTCCTTTCCTGTACTTGAAGTACTGTCTGTGCTGCTGACGTGTGGTGCATATTTGGCATTTGTTAATCTCAGAACTGTGCAAGTTCAATCAGCAACATTTTTCCTTTTGAATGTGGGAATACCTGAAAGCAGTGCTGGCACTTAAATGTGCCTCTGTCATATGTCCATCAGATTTATATCTCATTGACAACATAGAGTTGGTAAACTTATCAGGATGTTTTAAACTGAATGATATCCAGGTGTTTGGATCAAGTAAAGGAGATTCTCAAAGGCATGGTTCTTATATGTATTATGGATAGTTACTCTCCATTGTACTGCATTAGAGAGGGGGAAAAAAGTCAATATAACCTAATAATTCTGTGGCAACAACACCGTTATAAAGCTAGAAGGCAGACATGGATTCATCAGGAATAATGCTAAAGATTCCATGCTATTAGAGTTAGCTTTTGGTTTTGCTGATGACTCTTTCTTGTGCATGTATGGCGTATCTCAGTAGATGCTGATTATCTCTTTGGGGATTTGGGACTGATTAACAATATCCACATATCTTCTGTACTCACCCTAGTTGTCTACCTGCTTCAGCTGATGATATCTGCTGCTGCTACTGTGTGTTGGGCACAATAGAGATCTTTCACACCAGATCTGGTTGCTGTAGTTACAGCAATTATTGTGTTCTGGGTCTCCAGGAGGTGCTTGAATAAAGATGTTCTGAAACATTTGAGTAAACAGCATATCCTTTTTATATGGAAAATTCAGACTACCAGAAGCTCCTCCTCCTTTAAGCTCTTTCCTGGGTTTGACAAGATTATAGGGTGCTGTTTAAGTTTTCCCTTTTCTGGATGTTTTTCTAGTGTACAGATTTCCTTTGTTTTTGTTTTCTCTGCTCCAAACTGTGTGACTTGCTTACTGACTCGCTCTGTGTTCAGCTTCATTTATAACACATTACAGACATACTTGTGGCATTATGACTTCAGGAAGTTGCCATAAGTGCTTGCCACAGGACCAGTGAGAGTCAGGACAGCTTTAGCTCTCTTCCTACCCAGCTCACCACCGACTCAGACTCATGCCCTCTGCTGCTTTTGCTTCTCTGCACCCCGCAGCCTGTCATCTCTTCTTGACACAGTGGCATCAGAGGGAGGGGAGCCTTCACAGCAAAGAGGAATGGCTTGCTTGCTTTGAATGACAAATGTTCGTTTGCCTGCTCTTGGAGTGAATACCCAAGTCAAAACGCTGTAATTTCCCCTGAACCATGGCTTGTGTTCCTTTCAGACCGCACTTCCATTGTTCACCCTCCTGAGGACAGCACTGTGATCAAAGGAACCACAGCCACTCTGCGGTGTGGAGCAACTCATGATCCCAGAATTTCAATCAGGTTGGTGGTGTCAGTTCTTATTTGTGTGGTTTAGCCGAGCTTAATTTTCTAAGCTCTATGGATAGCATTAGGTGAAAAGTTTCTGGACCCCAGATTTTAACACCAGACCCCTGATTACTGCATTGTGAGGTTGTACACTGTATCATTAATCATATAAATCCCATCTTCCATTTCAGCCTTATGTATTATTTACAATGAGCTATGTTCCACTTCATGACTTCAATATAGCCTTCCATGATTTTACTGTCAAGGTTAATACACTATCAATAAAACCAACTTGTCAGAAGCTGATACTTAATGAGAGTAAAAGCCAAAGAGAAGGAATAGGATTTCAGAAGTGTTTACATGGGGGTGCATGAAAGCCACATAAGAGATGCTCATGTTCTTGGAAACAACTCAATAACTAGGGACCATATTCTGTTTTAAGTGTGTGAAGGAAAACAGAATTTGTCTGAACTATTAAAATTTGTACTACAGCATTTAGAGAACGTTCATAATTTAAAAATAAATTTGTGATAAAAATTTGTCTAGTCTGAAAGCAACACGAGCAAAAGAAAATGCAAGGAACAGGTTGGAGGGTGCTAGAAGGGTGCACTGCAGAAAGTTTGAGAAAGAGAAATACAGTTTAAAAACTTCATGTGGAGATACTTAATTGACCATGGGCTATACACACCTCTGTGACGTGTGGGTACATGTATTTTGATGGATGAGCTCTAGTAACCCTTGCCACAGCAGTTTCAAGGTGTTACTGATTATGGCAGTTTAATGTTATTACAGCCTTAGCAGAGATGGGCCAACGCCTCAGCTGTTAATTCCAAGCTATGATGATCAGTTTAAAATGCTGATGAAGGAGGTCTTAAGAACTTGAACATTTATGAGTACTTCACCTTTTCCATGTCAAACAGATAGTATCTTGGACATGGTTACATGTCTCCTTCTGATTGGTGATCTAAAACTTAAACTTGTAAAAGGTGTTGCTTCTGAAAGTAACTGTAGGAGCATGTCACTTGTTATGTGTGATCACAGAAGATGATAATCCTACAGCACAGTTCATATGGGTAATTAATAACGGAAACATTGTAATACTCAGGTACCTTTGGAAGAAGGACAGTGTTGTAATAAATCCATCCAGCAGTTCCAGGATAACACTAGAAAAAGATGGAACTCTCCTCATCAGCCAGACTTGGTCAGGTGACATTGGAGACTATACTTGTGAGGTCATTTCTTTTGGAGGAAATGATTCCAGAATGGCTCGGCTAGAAGTGATGTGAGTATTCCTCCTTCAATATACACTATTCTTGGTTTCAGAGACCCTGGGGCATTGTTCTGTCATGTAATTCTAGGTTATATGGGGATAAGTTTGATTTTTTTTGGTGTGTTTTTTTTAGGGGAAATTAAACCTGGTTCATTCATGATTAAAAGGCCTTGAAATGTCCTCCCTTTTTCATGCTGCCACGCTGCTTGGGCTTCCATTTCACCGGAGCCTTGGATGTTACTTCCAAGTAATTGCATCTCTCTGAATCACTCCGTGTACTTATCCATCTGGTTGGGTGACTGAGCTCAGGGAATAGTGATTAAGAGGTGGTAGTCCACTTGAAGCCAGTAACAAGTGAACTGCCACAGGGGACTGCAATGGGACATGCTTTGTCCAGCATATTTATTAGGGATCTGGAGAAGGTGTTGGGCTGCATGCTCATCAAGTTTGTAGGTGGCACAAAATGGATGGAGGACAGTTGATGCACTGGAGTGCAAGGCCACCATTCAGAGGGCTGAGCAATGGGCCAACAGGAACCTTATGAAATTCAACACAGACAAATGCAACATCTGCATCTGGGGAGGAATCACCTTTTGCAGTGATACAGTACAGTCACTGACTGGCTGGTAGCAATTCTGCTGGAGAGAACCTGGGGATCTTGGTAGACGGCAGTTGAACGTGAGCCAGCTCTGTGCCCTGGCAACAAAAAAGGCTAACAGCATTCTGGGTTGTGTTAACACGAGTCTAGTAGATTGATGGACATTATTAACCCCTTTTATCTGACACTTATTAGTCTACATCTGGAATACTGTCTCCACTTTGCAAGACCAGACTGAATAAATTGGTCTGATCTCATAGCTGACTGCTTTGAGCAGGAGGTTGGACCAGAGACTTCCCGAGGTCCCTTCCAACATGAATCCTTCTGTCATCCCACGCTGTAGGGGCTTTCCCATAAAGCTCAGGTACTGCACTGTGGTGCCAAGGCTATAAGAAAATGCTTTCCTCCTTTTAGTATTTTTTTATCTGTTAAACATATATGAGAATTGCTGGTCCCTGGACAGGCATTGCTTACTCTTGTGTTCTCTTTACTCGTCTTTACAGGGGAAAAATATTTTTATGTATGCCTTTCTTTATTCCTAAGGATCTTTAAAAATAAAAACAAGAAAATGTTTAAAGTGCAGTTGAGTTCTGAAAATGGATTATAAAAATGTCGTTACGGGGTTCCATATTTTCCCATTTCTGGCATTCCACTGGGGTGAAGTGCACATCCATTTTATTTTTATCACTAAAAGCAACACCTGTGGTTTTGGTACATGTGTGGAGCAGATCAAATGAAGAAGGTAATGTTTTATGTAGACTTTTTATTTATTTGAGTAGTGCCGCATGCTTTAGTTCAACTAAAATTGCATCTGTTTCTGCTGGTCATGCCTGATGTCTCTGAGAAGATGGCAACTTCTGCTGTTGGCAATGTAATGAGTTCACCTCTGAGATTTGCTATGCAGAGGGCTGTTTGATACAGCATTATTCTGACAGTGCCAAGGCTAGATCAGATGCCTGTTTGCAGAGAGCGGTCATACATTCTTTCTCTAATTAAGCACTCCTCAGCTCTCCTCCTGGAGTGCATTTTACTGCTGGTTTGAATCCAAGAGCAGAAGACAATTCAAAATATATTGCTACTGTATAATCATACTTGCTTTTCTCTGAGGCTGTTTTTGAATGGAGGGCAGAGAAATTATGGAGTGAAGACTGAAAAGAATGTTAAAACGTGGACTTTGAAGCAAGGCTATAAATACGTGCTAAAGACATTAGCAGTCTGACCATTACTTAATCCTAAATATCAAAAGATGCCCTGTGCAACCCAGTACAGCACAGCAGATGTATTTGCAGTTCCCTGGTGACCAGTGAGAAATAGTTTCATGCTCCATAAAATTTGGGCCAGAAGTTAGCTGGGAGAGGCACATCTTGTGTGCATTGCTGAGGCTGCCCTTCTTGCACCCCAGCTTGCTCCAGTTGTGGCTGTCTCTCCATGCACTGGGACTGGCTCTTAATCGTGCATCTCTGCTTCCTCCAATGTTGGGTTGCCCACCACCTGTTTTTCCTCAAGGAATCAAAGAAACATATCGGTTCCACTCTTTCAGAGGACTTCAGTAACTGATAAGTCATTCAATCACACCTTGAATTGTGACGTTTTATTTCAAAGCAGTGCTGCAGGTAGAGCAATAATGCCAAAACCTATTGCATTCCTTTGCAGCTTTCATCATTATCGTTTGGCTCAGCAGCACAAATCTGTGAGAGATAGAGATACATGATACAACAGAAGTGAAATGAAGAAGAAAATCTATGGAAAGGAAACGTCTGAAGTAAAGCTTAAATTAAATTCTAGCTCGTATATGAATGACAGATCTATAACATTCCCTATTCTCCCAGATAATTCTCTTGTGCAGAACATTAACAAACAGGGCATGTACATTCCCATCGATGAGCACTTACACTTCAGTGCTTCGAGTAGCACTAATGTCAGACAAATGTTCAAAGGAGGCCTCTCGACCAATTACAGGCTGGAGCAGTCTACCAACAGATAATATCATAGCCTACCTAGTATTATCTGACAACTCCAATTGTCTCACTACCTTTTTTCCCCTAGGAACCAACATGTCCCTGCTCTACCTCTAGGCACGTCAAGAGAAATTTCCAAAGGCAGAAATAAGTTTGCTACTGATTTCTATTCAAACTGATTCCATTCAAAGCCATTGACCTTCAGGGTGACTTTCAGTTATTTAATCTCTGAGTCGTCTGGTTTTCTAATCTGTGAAAAGGAGGAAAGAAAACTTCTTCCTTTGTCTTCCCTTGTTGGAAGACAGGTTTGAGGAAAAAGGAACTGCTTCTTGCTAGAACATGGTAGCACAGAGTGGTACACCTGGGTGGTGCAAGCAGGATAGATTATTTTTCTCAGTATGCCTATGAAAAAATAAAATATTTGAAAAGGAAAGCCAGAAAACTAATGAAGAACTTGCTAAAGTGCAGCCAAAGGTTACCTTGTTCATCAATTTTGCACTGATGGTACTTGGGCTCAGAAACTAATTGCTAGTCAAGATACTCCATTTGTTCATTTGTCTTCCCTCTAAATGTGTTTATTCTTCATGTACATCACTTGATTTGATTTGCATGAGGTAAAACATTTTCAAGTGATGTTTCCCGTCTGCAAGAGATAGATTTTGATTTTTTACTTTTTATTTTTCCCTAACAGAGCTTCTTGACTACAAATACAGAAACATTTGCAGGTCTTTTGGTGATGAGCTTGTGTTTCTCTTGCATTCCTCCAAGTCATAGGATTTGATCATGAAAATAATTGTATGTTATGAAACATCTCAGCTTCCTTTAGCTTACGTTTCTAGTCCTGTAAATACCATACTGAAATATATATAGAGGAAAAAATGCTTGCTCCTAAAGCTGCATAAGCTGAGTTATCACAGTGTATCACTCACCTGATGGGAAACTGTGCTGATTCCAGCTCAAAGTATCCTGAGGGTTCTCGGTACATATAAAATATGCAGAATTATCACTATCTATGCCTGATGATACCTGCTGCTCAGTATCAGCCTGTCTGCAGTCCATACTAAAGAATCTCTTTGTTGTATGAATGTGACTGAGAACTATGGTAATGCTGCATTGTTGGAAAATCAAAGCCCTGTACAAGCCTGTGTTATGTCACAACATATAGTAAAATCTTTCAGGCTCTTTCTGTATGCAAAAATATGGGGAGGACAATGTAATACAAAAATAGACAATTTATTCTTGGCAGCAAGTTCATCTTCTTTCAGTTCTCTTTCACCAGAGAAAGAACGATTATTGTTCTGTCTTCTTCAAAAGCAGGAGAGGGGAGCTAACCACTTATAATAAAACCCAGTGGGCTGCCAAGAATGCACAGTGTTGCCTTTCTCAATCATTTAGACACGAATTTTGATACCCTTTTTACTAAAGTGCTTGTAATTGCTATTTCTTCCAATTTCTTCCCAATATATCCCTTATAAAAACAGCTTGATTACTAAAAATAAATTCAGTAAGACCAAAGCAGAGTAAGAAATCAAAATGATACCTTATTACAAACTTATCTTCATAAGGATCCCATGTCTCTAGGTTCCAATAGCCCATCTCTTTTTCCTTTCTGCAGGGAGGGAAAACAGGAAGGATGTCAAATTTGCAAATGTGTTATTCCTTCCCCACTAGAAAGAAAGCTTCTATTTATTTTTCCAAGCTCTCTATTGAGATGTCATCCAAGACGTAAGGTTCACTGCTGAGTCTAAATACACTTGATACTCAAAAGAGGAATACCAACCAGAAATACACTTGGAAATACAATTGTGTCTGTTCATCATTGAAGGTATATCAGAAAGTGAGGTGTTTTTAGCAGAAAGAAAGCATAAAATTCAAAGACCTTTCCCAAGTTACTGGTAGATTCGAGCTTGTGGTGACAACCAGGATGAAACAGGCAATAAATCTGTGTGCTCCAGGACTTGGCAAGCCTTTTATTTCCAAAATCCACTTTGTTACAGGCCATTGAGAGAGTCATGGATGCCTTGCAAGAATCCTTCCTGTGTTTAGAAGTTGGAGAGGATTCTTTTTCAAGAGAAAGTGGGAAGTCCCGAGCAACAGATGGCATATTTCTTAATTTATAACATTATAAACTTTTATGAGCAAAGTCATTGGGGCTGAGCACTTTGTTGGGCTTCCTGCCTCAACTTCTTACCATGTTATCTGGTCTAGCAGATGAACCACCTGCTCCCAAGTAAACTTGTAATAGTGGACCTGATTTAGGAAATAATTTATGAAATAGGAGTGGGGCTTTTCATAAACTGACAGAAAACTTGTTTAATCTCCCTTGCCTGTTTATTAATCCCCTCTTCAGTCGCAGTCTCTCTAATTACCTGCTGTTGGACCATTTTTCTCAGAAATCTCTCCAAACCATGTCTGGTTTATTTCCCTCAGCAAATAGTCTGCTTTTAGCTAATTTTATAAAACACTCTATGTGTTTGCTGAGTGAATTTTTCAGCTGCCCTCTGGCAGTGATGAGCTGACTCAAAACATTAGGGTTTCTGTTTTGAACATATATCATCTGCAACTAGCTAATATTTTTCTCCTAGATTGTCACAATGACTTCATGTTCTTTTCTTGCAAATCCGGTATTTTAATTGCTTTGTCGGAGTCCCCTTGGGTCACCTTGGTGGCTATGCCATTAACCCTGGGCTTATCTATCAATTACAGATTTAGAAGTGTCCATATACGTATTTTGCTATCATACAAATAAGTTATGGAAAACTTGCCTCCATGTAACTTTTCAGCATTACAGCAGTGAGGTCTTGAGATATCCCGTGTTGAAAAAACCTTCATGTCTCTTCTGTTAGTGACTTCACTAAACGAAAGATAAGAATGCTGGAATTAAACTTCCAGTGTCCAATTAAGTTATGGAAAACTTGCCTCCATGTAACTTTTCAGCATTACAGCAGTGAGGTCTTGAGATATCCTGTGTTGAAAAAACCTTCATGTCTCTCCTGTTAGTGACTTCACTAAAGAAAAGAAAGATAAGAATGCTGGAATTAAAATTCCGGTGTCCAATCAAGGGCTGTTGTGTGCCTCATGTGTTATTGTCCTAAACCTCATCCACCGTCTTGGTATATCAGAAGTTGAGCAGTTCTGGTCTGAGGTCCTTCTCATCCTGAAGAAGTGTTGGAACTACCACTCCTTGCAGTGATTTCTTGCATGGTAGCAGCAAGGAAAAGCAATTCTCTTGCAGGAATAAAAGAAGCAATGATCTCTTTGGGGAACTTGAATATTCATGAAGGTGGTACAGGTCTCATTTATCATCCTTCCACACAGTATGTGGTAGCAAATGAGAAGGAGACAAAGTGTAAATGCTTGCTAAAGTAAGAATTACTATTTATTAATCTCTGCTTTTGTATACTGCAAAGAGAAGTACACTTCTCTGCTGAAATATCCTTGTAGTTTAAAATATTTATTTCTGTCCAGGTGTGTTTCTTAGGCACTTGTAATGTCTGCCTTGAGGGATTTAAATCTGTAAGCACCATCTGTTGCTGTTCAGTGTGGACACATATGGCTAAAGAATATGATATTAGTGGAGATAGGTGTCCTGTATGGCTGCTGCAGCTCACGCTACTCAATCTCTGTCTGAACAGAAAGTGCCCGTTTCCCTCACGCTGCTGACTGATTAACTTTTTGTGTCAATCTGAGAATAATCAGCTAAACCCAAATCCTAAGCAAAAAAAAATCCCACGTTTAAACTCAATTTAAAGAACGTGACAAAGGGAATGTCCCCTCTCCTCCAAAAGTCTTCTGAGGCTTGTACACTAAGAAAAAGAGACTGAGCTGTAAAGTCTGTCTTAGTCATATAACCTCTGTCCTCAAATGAGTTAATGCAGCCCTCGTGAATGCATGGGGAAACAAGATCAGTAAAAGCACACCCTGAAAATATCCTTAATGCATACCAGGAGTGTTATTTACTTCCCAGGAAAGGACTTCCATGGGAATAAGTTTGTTGTGAGTTCCCCTTCAGCCATCCCTTCTACACTGCTCCCTGGCCATAACCCTCTGGAAGAAGCTGAAGCCACAGCCCATCTCTGAGCTCTTCCCCACAGGGCCTGGTGATAAATGAAGAGAGGGCTGGGGCTTCTGGGAGCCTTGTCACAAGACGTTTCACTCTCTTCCCTTCAGTAATTTCCTTTGCCAGCTTAATCACAAAAACACTTTTCCAAGCAGCTTGCTTAGGACATAATGATAAATTGTAGTGGAGGTTTAATGTTTATTATAATTTAATGTTTCATTCAAAATTAAGTAGCACGCTGCTGTAGTCCCTGGGTAAATGGCCATACCTTAAACTGCCACTCCGTACTTTTCCAACGACAGGCCTAGTCTGCCATTTAGTCTTGCAGGCCAGCTGCCCTCCTCCTGTGTTTCCAGGTCCTCCTCTAAAGTTGTTTATCCAAAATTTTGCAGTCCTGTGTTCAAAATGTGCTTCCATTGGGTCCATACATACTCTTTCCTGTGCCTGATATTTCTTCTGGACCATGACTTTGCTGTCTGTGTATCAGGAGTCTGGAGCCTGGTTGGTGCATGCCCAGATCTAAGTGAGAACATAGCCTGAACTCATCATCAAGGCATCTTGAGCAAGCAATTTAATGAATTTAAGATCTGAATCACACCCTGAGGTGTCATTCCATGTTTACTACAGAAGAAGCCTGAGGTCACCATGCTGCTAATTTGGTTAGGCATTTAAAGTCAAATGAGATGAGACAAGACTTTGAGTCTTGTTTAGCCTTAGGAAGCATCAACCCTCCTAGCCTAGAGAGATGTGTTCAGGTGAGTGTTTTTCACTTGTTGTCTCATTAACTGTGTTGTCCTTATCACTCTTTGGCTCTTCCAGCAACCCTTTTTTTATTATTCTTATTTTGGGTTGTTTTGGTACTAACTCCCCAGTAACCATCATAAACAGGTAAACAAAAGCATTCATGGTTTTAAAAGGAAAATAATAAAACTATTGTCTGGCTCTCCCATATGTTCCTCAGTCTTTCAGTAGAAACCTGAATCCAGGACATATTTATTGTTCTGGCTTAAAGCCAGAGTCTGTATTTACTTTTGTGAGTAGCTGAGGAGCTGCAGGTTTTAAATAACTGTAAGCCTTCAGCAGCAGGATACATTACAACCAGGAATTACTACATTTTTAAATTAAGTATGTGAAGTACCCTGGTGGCTTTCTGCTCTGTCCAGAGGAGATTAGCAGTGGTGCTTACTGAGGAAGGGTTACCCTCAGCTGTCCTGGGGAGGAGCAGGAGATAGAATGGGTGAAAATTGGCTCTCCTTGCTTTTCCTTCACTCTGAGATCATCGTCCTTCTTGGGAACCAGGATGATAAGGAGCAGAATTCGGGCTCAATTATAATGCTTGAAGGGCTCTTATCACTTAATACAGATCAGCATTCTAGGGATGCAGCAGAATTTAGTTTTCTCACTGCACCATGCAGTCTCTGACTTTCAGCCAATGAGTACAAATGAAATGTTTTTCCACAAATTGCTTTTATGAGGAGAAATTACATGTTTTAATTGAGCTGCTGTTTTAGTTTTGGGCTTTTTTTAATGTTTCATTTTGTATTTCCATGGGCTTTCTGCAGGCATTTTCACTACATTTTCTGCTTGGGTGCTACCAAAAAAATCCTTATTATAGGAAGGGAAGATGCTACCCATGATAGGATAAGCCTGAATCCTCGAGTAAATCAAGCTGTTCTGTAGCCTAAGAATACATATGGTAATTTTGATTAGTAGCTCTATATGGATAGTGTCAATGTCTTCTGCTTCCTTGAGTATGAAAAATTCCATGTTAAATCATATCTCCCATGTGTTTTACTGTTTATATGTATTACTGCTGTCACATTGCTAGGACATCATCATAAGAAGGGGGAAAAAAAGTGAGGGGGAAATTTATTGACCAACTTGTCTCAATCTAAAACAGTATGAAAATTGTCTTTTTTCCACATTTAACAGCAATTCCTTTAGCTGTTCCAAGCATCAGCCTTGGGACTTTCAGCATAATTTTATTTTTTTTTTTTCCAAGGAGGATAAAATTGTGACAAACTCAGAGATGTCTTTCATTTATTTAATTGCAGAGTAGCTGTTGGTAGTTTTATATCTATCATCATACGAGTCTGGTGTCGTGTGCCTTCAGCTGCCTGTAAGACTGTAGCTGAGTGAAATGTAGATTGATTTTTCTGTGCTGTTTTTTCTCTCTTTCTCTTTTCCTTATCAGTGAGCTGCCTCATTCTCCTCAGAACCTTGTGGCCTCCCTGAACTCCTCGTTCAGCCGCAGCGTGGTGCTCTCGTGGGTGCGTCCCTTCGATGGGAACAGCCCCCTTCTCTACTACATGGTGGAGCTCTCTGAGAACAGTGAGTAAAGTCCAATATGCTTCAACCTCTTGGTCTTAATTATTCAGCCTTCTTTCAGGCTTGCCTTTTACCACAACTATCAAAGAAATCATACTGTTTGCTAAACAAGAGAGAGTGAGCGTGAAGCTCTGGGGTTTACATTCAACTATTCACATGCTGAAAAATTGAAGTATGAAAAAGAGATCTGAGGTGGTGGGGTTGTTATACAGGAAAGCCTTAGTTCCACCATTCCCAGCCAGACTTGAGGCACAACAGCTTGTTCCTCAGTGCTTCCATTCAACGTGTGTAAAATAGCAATAGTCGGATTTTATGTCTTCCTGTTGTTGTCTTCTGCTCTTGTTTCATAGATATCTTAATGCATTCAGAGCACCAATTTCACCTGAAAAATGCAGTCAGCATGGTAACATAAGGACCTGATGGTCTGTCAGAGGAACAAACTTAGATGTTAATAGGAGCTCCTATCTTACACAATACAGGTTCATATATTTTCTTCACTTTCCCTAGGTTATCATTTTACGCCCTTCTTTTAGGCAAGTGGTTGAGGATGCTTAACTGTAAAGTGTCCAGATATGTAGCTTCATGGGTTATAAACCTGGTCCCTGTGAATTGCCACTTCTCACAGTTTTGTTATGCTGTATATCTGGTCCTCTGTGGCTCTCCGTTTGCAAGGTTATTCAGGGACATTGCTAATGCCTTTTTCAGAGTTGATGGAAAGATGAGGTTATATGGAAATCAGTCACCTTGGCAATACTTTCTAATCTCTATCACCCTAGGAGCTGGAAACCCAAGCCTAACAATTGATTCTTGATGAAAAAATTAAGAGCATCACTTTTTCTGACATGTGGAAATTAGCCACTGCATAACTGAATGTGAAACAGTCTTGATTTCTGATTATCTAGAGAGTAGCATTTTTGTTTAGCCACACAGAAAGCTTGAGATGAAACTTGAGCTTCAGATCACATACAACCCTTTCGCTTTGTAGGCTGGAATGCATAAGTTTTTGATGTGGAGGTCCCAGAACTGATGATCTTGACATCTGTTAAGCAAAGTGCAGTTTTCTAATCCTAGCAGGAATCCCAAGTCATGCCCAGGACTGCTGTCCTTAAAACAGTTCTTTTTGAGCAAAGACTCCTGATCTTTTTGTAACAAATGACTGAGAAAATTCAGTGTTCTGCACTCACACCTCCTCTCTACCTTTTTATCACCACCTTTTTTATTATTCTTACTCCTCTCTCGTTCCCTTCCTATCAACTACAGGCCAGTAACTGCCTTTTTGCTTTTCCTTACCTGTTCTTTCGCCCAAGGGTGTTACCCTTTTTTCCCAGTGGCTTTGACATTGACAAGACAATAAAGTCCCAGTCTGGGAACGTGATGCAAAGGGCTTGGAGCTGTATTTACATGGAGACAGCACAGAGCTGGCAGGATGCAGGCACTTTGGTCCTGCACTGGGCTGCATTAATTGGGAGGAGTGAGTGAAAGAAGAGGCAGCTCACTCAGTAGCTTGAAAGGTCTCCAAGTGTCTTTCTAGCAAGGATGATTTGCAGTTGTTCCAGTATAGGAAGGGTGTAAATATGCCATCATTTTAAAAATGCTCTAATCCTTTCACTGATATTTGTAGAAGGCTCAGCAGAAATCAACAATAGTTCTCCAGAAATCATGCAGACAGCCCCTCAGCACTCCACAGGATCCTGTGAACCCTTGCTCACTCCATGATAGGATCAAATAATTTTGGCTGATGGCATTGCAATCTACCACTGAGAGAGTCTCATTATTGCAAATCAGAGGTATATGTACTTCAGCAAGCTTGCACCTGCAGCATCCAAACACAGGCTGGGTTTGTTGTGAACTGAGTACCTTAACACCCAGAAGTATTCTAGATCTTGCTGTCCTTTTCATCCTTGTCTTTTTTAACTTTGTTTTTATGTACAGTGTCTGTATGGTTACTCATAGAAGTAGGACAGAGTATCTAAGCCCACTAGTGGAATCTAATATTCCCCTGTTGCTATGTTCTCTCATTTCATATATCATTGCTCAGCTTTATGGATGCCAACAGAATGGCAGAACAATATCAACAGTGACTTTGGTTTGGAAAGCTGGCTTTAATGCCTGTATATTGTCACTGTTGTCTTTTATTTTCTTCAAGTGTTGGGTTTTCAGAGTCCCTTTGATCTCAGTGGCGTGTGGTTAATATGTAGTTTCACCAGAGCCCCTTGCTCCTTTGGAGAGCACCACCTTTCCTGTGTTCCCACCTCTCTCCAGGGATGCTTGTGCACAAAGCTGACATTTCATCTTCCATAGGTACAGTTTTGTCTGATATGACTGTGCAGAATCTCTCTGTTCTTTTCAAAGAAAATTTCCTTTCTGGTTGTCTGTCACTCCTGTTTGTGCCATGGAAAGAACAACTCTCAAGGAGCTGGTGTGTGCCCTTGGTGAGCTCATCTGCTTGTGTGTGTCACTTGGTCACAGCAGCAGTGCAATACACTCAACTCCCTGAATCATCCCCATTTGCTTTGATACGTGTTAAGGTTTTGGAGGGACATCAGAATTATGGTTTATTCTCCACTTAGTAAAGCTGCACATAAGACTTTTCTGAGTTCTGTGGCATTTTAATGCAGATACAGGTGCCAAAAGGTAGCCTAGTTTTGTGCATTTATTTTAGCTGTTTTGCTGTGAATAGTTGCCTAATAGCTTTAGGATCCATTGTAGGTTTTGAAGCACATACCATAAATGAATACATAATAACAGTATCTGTTTCAGAGAAATAGCTGAAGAGAGTTCAAAATAATGAGTGTAAATTTCCAGGGACTAATTACTGGCTGCATTAGAGAGAGGCGTGTCACTCCACCTGGCATGGATTAGAACTCCTTTTCATTAATATCAATTCAGTAAAGAGATATAAACCCCTTATTTTAATTAGAGAAAAAAAAAACAGTGGCAGATCGTGCTCATAAATTGCTGGAAATATGAACGAATCTAGTCACCTAATTTTTAAAATGAATGTATTTGGCACAATGCAATAATTCTCAAATTACAAGTGTTCACAGCAGACTGTGTCTGTGGGTGACTTGAGACATATGGCCTTAAACATTTGGGGGCAAATTTATAATCTAATTTGAAAAACACAGTTCCAGGGAAACACAGTCATTAAGTATTTCTGCCCACACAGAGCCAGCAATGTGAACCTTAATTTGAAATAGGATTTTCAAATAAATAGTACCATGCCTTGCTGTCATTTGCACTAATATAATTTTTGGATGTTTCATGACCTGTTTAGCCCCTGTTGTGAATTGTAGTGGGAATTGCAGTGGAGTATCTTCATGGAGTTAGAAGGGGATATACTTATTTTATTCCAAAGAGATTTACATTTCAGGGATTAGTCAAAGAATATTCTGAATAGTCTTTTAACTGAAGAAAGGAATTAATACTTAAAGAATTCTGCTGAGTACAATTAAGATGAAAGCCCATTTTTGTTTTATTTTATTCTGGAATATCTGTGCTGTGGGATCTAACGATATAACTCAGATTCATCACGTGCCAGTAAGGAGATAATAAAAGCTCCTATGAAAGACATGCTTAACTTAAAGCCCTTGAATTGTCATGCTGATTTTGGTAGGAATATTCAAATGTAAAAAACTGAACACACAGATAAATATTTGCAAAAATGAAAATAAAAGGATGTTGTTCATTAAGACTAACTCAGGTCTATATTGATGGTGTTAAAAGATACTTTTTCTCAAGCCATTGGTAGACTTTGGAGTTCTACCAAACACAGGGTGAACCATTTAATTTTTAGTTTAACTCTTTTCAATATCATATTGTCATGAAGATTGGAAAGAGGAATTCAGTAAACAGCAGCAGTATGGCAATTCCAATACTACCATCTTTGCAAAGCCCCCTGGAGAAGGAAGGAGATGGAAATGTATTCCAAATCTGCCAAAAAAAAAAACAGGTTTCTGCAATAGATCTGATCTCTAATATAAAATTAGAAATTATTTCTGAGGAATGTGCAATTAATGTATGAATTGTAAGGTAGACAGGAAAATACAGAAGAAATGCCTCTTGATGAGTAGCCAGTGTTATTAAACATATCACAAGTGTTTCCAAACATTTCTGACAGAGGGAAGAGTAATTTCTAAAGCCCCCCAAATCACACCGTAAACTAGAGAGTAGCCTGTGAGATTCTTCATTTCCAATAAATTAACTCTGAGAGGCAATCAGAGTTAATTCAAAATATCTATCCATAAGACAATGGACAGCTAAACACGGAAGTTTTTCAGACAGTAGCAATTACAGTGGAAGAGCAAGCAAGCAAAGCTCAGAGTACATTCCAGGCAGCTTAAGTTAAATGCAGGATTAGCACAGTCTGTTCAGTCTAACAGAGGCTTATTTAATAGTTCGACCTGGCAAGTCTTTTGTCACCGTGGAGCTTCTCCAGGCTTCTGGGACAGGCGAGTGACAGTCATCCCTGGAGGAGAAGAGAGTCAGTGTTGAAAATTTTATGGCACGTTTCCCTTGTCAGAATTGCTCTTCTCTGTGGTAGAACAAGCTTCTGCACCATTATGGGTTTTGTTGTATATTTAAGGAGGGAGAACAGCCTTTTGAAATGTTTAGTTTATTGATTGTCAAGAAAAAAAAAAAGACTTGATATTTAAATTTTAAAGATACTCTTCACACTCACTCTATCCACTGCTCCATGAGCAAGCAAATCCTCCCCAAACCACTTTCCTTTACGAATCAGAGTGCCCAGGAGATGAATAGGCTTCGTTTATATTAGTTTTCAGTTTAATCTCTCTTCCTGCCAGATCTTTTATCTTCCACCAGGAGAGGAAAAAGAATAAATAAAGTATTCTACAGATGCAGCATATAAACAGAGCAAAGCCCCAAGGTGCTGAAGAGATTAATAGGCCCTGTTGTTGAATCAAACTGCTCACTGCATTGAGCTGCTTGGGTTAAGCACTCTCAGGTGGTGTTTACACTAGCAGTAAACAAATGAAATGCTCTAGGAAATGGACCACTACCCAAGTAGCTCATGCAAGGGTGTTTCACTCTCTTGTTGGTGTCTGCTCTTCCATTTTCCTCAGGAAGCTGCTTCAGGCAATGTACCAAGTCAGCCATACCTTAACTTCAGCTTACCTTGATTTGTTATTGTGCACTCTGGCTGCAGCAAGGTGAGCGGTTGTCTGGGAAGTCTCAAGAGAAGCTTGATAAAATTCAGAAGGAACTAGGGTGCAAAAAACCTCTTAACCAGTGCATTTCTAGATAGCATAGATGTGCTGCCTCTCAGATTTTCCTGAAAGTAGTTCAGCGTTCAGCTAGGACAAACTGCCATCCAGAACTTGCAGCCGAAGTGACTGTTGGTAAATCATCAATAACTGGCAAGGATGGAGCTCGACTGCTGTGTAAATGTCCCTATCCACCATTCCCAGTATTCTGCCGTGTCAGTTTGCCTGTTAAAAAAGACTCTGCTCTCAGAAAGCCATTACTGGAATAAATATATTTTGAGTAATTCAAAGACACAGTGTTTATAGCCCAACTGGCATCACACCCTAGAGGACTTAAACGTGCTAAGGAATCTGCCAGAAAAGCACTAAATTAGTGGTTTACATCTTGGTGTGAAGTTTAGCAGCCTTCCACATTTGGGACATCTCATCTTCATTTTCCAGCAGACGTCTAGGTGACCTGCCAGGAGCTGCAATGCACTTCTGATGAGCAACATGCACAGATACGTTGCCAAAATCTACAGCTAGCTCCTCAGTAATTTCCAGAAGTGTTAGTAATTTTGAGCAGGGAGCATGAAAACAGCTGGTATTATTTAAAAACTGAACAAATCTTTAAATTGGCTGATTCCATTGCTGTACTGTTGTAACACAGACCAAATGTCACTTCTTCCTGACTATTTCAGTCATGACTTCGGGGAAAATATGTAACATGAGGCTATGAAGAAAAGAAGTCAGGAGATTTAATTTTCAACATGTTTCATTTCCGACCTCTTTGAAAACTTGAAAATGTAATTTGGGCATCAGAAGAGCTCGGGATGTCAAGTATGTGAACTGACAATGAGGGGTTTATAGTGCTGCCAGGACTGTTTATACCAGGGAATTTTCCTAGGAAATGATTAGGCTGAATACCATATACTCTCTCTGGAAAAAAAATTGCAGACATGTAGAATCCACAGCAGAAGCTTTCTCAGGTCTCACAGCAAAGGGCTGATTTGGCAGAGAGAGTCACGCTGCTACACCTGCTTGCAAGCTGGGTAGGAAGATATTCCAAACTGACTGAGAATTTCATTACAGGCCTTCCACTAGAGCCACTCATGGGTGTGGTGTTGTAATGGCCTGCCAAACAGATGGGTTGTGAAATACACAGCCCATCTGTCTTTATCATGCTTGTTTCCTCTTTTATTAAAATGTTAATGAATATAGTTTTTATTTATTATGCCGTGACATGTGCCGCATCACTTTCCAGTAGACAAATGTGCAATCTGCATAACCGTGTGGGCTGACAGGAAGGTTTCTTCTCCTGAAAAGAAACTTCTTCCCAAAGTTCCTCTGAGAAAAAAAAAAAAAAAAAGGCACAAAAAGTTCTGAGCAGTCAGAGGCATTTTCTCACTTCTGCAGGGCTTTTAACAAGCACTTCGGTATTTTTTTCACGTGTAAATTATTCCAACAGATTCTCCCTGGAAAGTTCACCTGTCAAATCTTGACCCAAAGATGACTGGTGTCACTGTGAGTGGACTCACACCAGCTCGAACCTACCAGTTCAGGGTGTGTGCAGTTAACCAGGTGGGAAAGGGCCAGTACAGCTCTGAAACCAGCAGGTACAGTGAAAATAAATCTCTGTGGACTAAAGGTGCAATAACCTAGAATTCTTGGGGGAAAAAACCTTCTGATTGTTTGTGAATTAATAAAACCAAGTTCTCTTTTGCACATTAATTGGGGAACGGAGCAGTTGGCATCACCCAGGGCTCTGAAGAGTGCTCTGCAGCTGTCAGCAGCTGCTGATAATGGCAGTGGGGCCATGCAGGACATCAGCACTCAATGGGAGAGGTGCCTTCATGTTTCCAGAGTATCAGTTGAGCAGAATCTTCAAAATATTTCTTTTGGTGTTGTGCTAAGCCACAGCAGCTAGGTTAGGAAGGGGTACAGCATTCCCCCAATCATGGCACTGTCACTTCTGGAATTCGCCCAGATGCGACATAGAAGGATGGCTTCATCAAATTTAGTTTCAAATGCTGCTTCTTCTTCTGTGAACCAAAGCTTGCTGTGAGCTTGAATTGCAGAACAGCTGAACTCTAAATGGCTTTTTTCAAAATGTAGGAGTTTGATATGAAAAATATTGAAAGAGCTGAAAGGAACAATTTGGAAGGAGTCACAGACACTGGACCTGAGCTCTAACTCATTCAGGCTTGTAATCTTTTAAAAGAGTTGTAGCAGCCTGGGTGATTCAGAGAGAATAAGGTTACCTCAGCTGTCTGTCTTGCTGCTTGCTTAACTGATTTCCTATTATGTTGATTTGTTGTAACTATTTCATGCATGTCTTCAGCAGTTTGATCAGTGTTATATTTCCTTCTAGTCATCAGATTTTGATAAAAGAAACTGGTTAACATGGGGTGGATACATGAAATGGAAATGTTATCTATCACTTATTTCATCACCCTCTTCCATCCCATTCTTTTGTACTTAGGTTGATGTTACCTGAGGAGCCCCCCAGTGCCCCACCTAAAAACATAGTGGCCAGTGGGCGCACCAATCAGTCCATCATGGTCCAGTGGCAGCCTCCTCCTGAGAGTGAACATAACGGAGTTCTTCATGGGTACATCCTAAGGTGGGTCATTTCCTAACCTGGAGAGTCTGGAGATAAATCTGTGTGTGTGCACAAGGGAATTTGGAATGGTGTGACTTCAGAGTGTATTAAAAACTATTTCTATTTCTGTTAAATGTATTTATTATTATTTACATAATAATAAACCATGGCTGCCCTGGTTTATTACCCATGAGGAAACCCCTCTGCTCAAGTGGCCACAAGGATGCAGGCAGTGAAATTCTAGCCTGCCTATACTGGAGAGTCAGTGAGCTGGGGTCTCTGGTAGCTACTCCAAATGCACTGCCTAAGTGGAGTAGTTCCCTATGGAGACTCTCAGCATCCAGATAACTTCTTTCCATTTTTGAGTGAAGTGAAGCACCATGTACTAGAAGTGTTCACGTGGGAAGCTAGGACAGTGAAGCTTATGCATTGCAAATGTATATTTACTTATTACAATCTCAGCTTCCTGCTAGAAAGGTTAATTAAATTTATCAAAGACGCAACAGGGCTCCTGAAGAGCAAGAAGAGAATCAATAAACTTCAGGTTTGTGCCAAACAAAATGGAGAGAGGGAATGGCAGGTCAGGTGGTTCTTGGCAGACCTCGGTTTGGTTTTGAAAATCAGTCAGTTGAGTAACATTCTTTCAGCCCCATCTGTATTTAGAAATGAGAAACAGATTCAGGCAGGTAACTGGGAATCTTGACTGCATCCAATCTTTTTGCTTATCCAGGATTTATTGTGTTGGAAAGGGTGTGCTCAGACTGAGAGACTTTGCAGAGCATTTCCCTTTTGTAATTTTTTGGGACTCAGTTATTCACTCCTAACCAATTCAGCTGCAGCTTACTTGCTCATTTGGCATCCTACGTATCCTGCAGTGCTAGCAGCCAGCTAGGGCTGCACCTTTAGTAGGGGAGGCATTATCTAAATGAGAATTTTTGTAGGAAACTCCCAAACATTGCACCACCACTGACATGTTTCCAAGTGATGGTTACAGCCTATTGTAGACAGGCTGCTGGCATTTTTAATACCATGTCCTCCAGACCTGCTAAAAGACAACTAAATGCTACAGTTTAAATGCCAACATACTGTTGACGCTGTGCTCCTACTTTTCCTGGCATGGATGGAAATGCTTTTGTGATTTTAAGAGTGTTGGTGAGCTCCCAAAACAGAAATACCAAGTTCTTTCTCTCTCCCTGTCACCTGCACAGAGCCTGTTACAGTGGTGAGTCACTTGTGCAAGTGCCTACAGTTTAAGAGCTGGATGCAGCTGGAAAGCTGTGCCAGCCATCAGTGATGGGTGGGAAAAGGTGCTCTAACTCTTCTCTGTAGCTAGAATCTTGTCATGAGACTTGGGTACCTATTTACACAGGGTGCAAGTGTTGCTTGTATAGTTCTTTCCTTCAAACTGGTCTACTCGATGATAGGATTAATTCCTTAGCTGTTCCCAATGAGTTTTACCTATTCTCAGCATTAAGTCCTATGAGAAAGCAATCCCATAGCCTCCTACTTTTGGCATTCTGCTCTGTTTTCTCCATATAGTGGTTTCAATAACATTTAACTTAAGTGTTTTCTACGACATCTATCAGCATAATTGATCCCTGTCCTCGCTGTAACATCTCTTTCCATTTTAATAGAGAGTGATCATATTCATTATGCTCAATCTGTGAACATTTTGATGTCTACATGCTTTTTCTTGACTACAGAGCAGAGAAACCACTTAATCTACAGGAATTTAAGATTATCATATAAAAGCACAACTGTCCCGGGTAATAAACCAGGCTCTTCTTCCAAGTCAAATTGTGTGCTTACAGCAATGTGCATTGAAAAAAAAAAGTCTTCCTGCACTGATTTCTGTAGAATTAAGGTATAACAAAATGAAAACCACCATGCATCCCAGAGACCCAATGCTCAAGACATGCAAGATACTAAACTGATGGAACACCTGATCTTTAAAAGTGAAGGTGCACTGCACAAGTCATATGGAGTATACATCAAAGTCCATGGTGAGAAAAATCATGAAGACATGACATTTCTGAACCAGCCTCCTTCTTCTGCCCTTTTTCTCACTGGCAATATTGCATTTAGAGGACTGCCATGCTAACAGCATGAGGGGTTAAATCACAGGACCACTCTACACTTTGTCTGCTAGGTGTGAGACAAAACATTGCTGCACAAAGAATTGACTTTGCCAGAGAGCATCCACCCTTCCCAGGAGAAAAAAAGAAAGGAAATGGTAGATATTGCATAAAGCAGAAAAACATCAAGACATTCAATAAACTCAGTTGAGGGCTGATGTTTCTCTATTTCTGTTGGTATTTGATAAACAGAATTACACCAGTGTAGCATTACAAATATTAAGTATGTCAAAATATGGTCAGGTAAGCAGCTCCTCAGCAGAAAATAGAGGGGTTCTCAGTGACTAAGAACTGATCTCTTTATAAGAAGATTTCAGAACAAAATCTCTGGCTGAAATACACAAAGTTGTCTAGTTGTAGAAATTGCACCAATTTAACCTAGATGAATTTGGAATCAGAGTGTAAGATGCCAATGAGACTGTTCTGTGTCAATAAGCTCTTGGTGATTACTGTGCAGCAAAAGATGAATAAGAGTGCGTAAAAGCTGTGTGGTGAATAAAAATAGAAATGTTTCCCTATTTGTCTTTTTCATGGAATAGTAATGCCTCATGCCCCTCACTTGGCCTCTGGTTTTCTCATTTTTTTGTGAATTAGCATATTGTAAGCATCCATTGTACCATTTTCCTAAAGAAAGGAAAACAACAAGTGTTATTCACAGATTTGCAGGGTTTGTTTGTTTTCTCTAATTTAGTTCTCCATAGTTTCTTGGCCTGAAGACACACATCAAAGGGGCTCTGTTTTCTACAATATTGTTTTTACATGGGAAAATACATGCAATGTTTCAGCTTCCCATGTCTTAGCAGAAAGTTTGATAGGATGTTTACCACTCACCCGTATTTGGTACAGCCCTTCTCCTGGAATTCTAATGCTTAACCAGTCCTTCAATCTTAAACATATTCCATCCTTATTTTAAGCATTCTGTGAAGTAAATCCTGCTGGAAGCCAGAGACAGCAACGCCTGAGACTCTAGAAGGTCAGAGCCCTCTGAGCTCTTCCTTTTCAGTTTTTGGAAGAGGAGGAGAAAAAATACTTCTCAAGCTGATTTACAGAGCACCCCGATAAAAATCACGTCTGGGCTATTTTTTCTACTAAATCACAGCTTTGACTAGACAAGCCACATTTAAAAAGCTGTAATTTTTCTGCAGCCATAAAACAGGATAAAATACCAGTTTTGTTTAGCCCTGAGCATGTAATCTCAGATCAGATTATAAATACCCTAGCAGTCAAACACGATATGGTCTTATCAGGCATTAGTCTGTTCTTTCTGATTATTTTTCATTGTTCTGTGTATAATTCTGTATAAAAGTTTGCATATTGTGTCTTCACAAAGGAAGCTATTTTGCTAGTCATTATATTTGCTGTAATTGATACCATCTAATTAACTAGCAAATTTTTCTTCCCGTGTGGTAGGTATCGCCTGGCTGGGCTCCCTGGGGAATACCAGTATAAGAACATCACCAGTGCAGAAATTAACTACTGCTTAGTGAAAGACCTCATCATTTGGACCCAGTATGAAATCCAGGTGGCATCTTACAACGGAGCTGGGCTGGGAGTGTTCAGCAGACCGGTGACAGAGTACACTTTACAGGGAGGTGAGCAAATCAGACCAATATACCATTTATAGTTACAGTTTATAGAACCTAACAACTTGTAAAATGAATGGTAATTTCAGCCAGGTTTGATAGACAGCTTTGGGTAGGAAACACCTACAAATTTCAAATGCCTGAGTAGAGATAAAATGGGACTCTGCTACTATCTCTGTTGTAGAAGAAGCTGTGAGTGGATTCAGAAATTATCTGTTTTTGTTGACCCTCGTGATGACATGTTACCACACTTGCAGGTCAGAGTCAGCCTCAGCATAACTAAATAGAAATGCTGAAGAGAGCTGGGGTCCTGTGGTATGGATTTATAAGACATTGTGACAGGCAGGGGCTGAGGTTACTCTGCCAGGAGAGTCAGAGAGACTGTGGCAGGGAATTGGGTTTATTGTGGCCAAGATAAGCAGTATGCTGCATACACAATATAGGAGACAATAGCTGAGTAAACCAGTCGCATAAGTTCTGATAATCACAGGAAACCTTGGCTTAGAAATGTGGAATAAATTGTAAGGAAAGTGTGGGGAGATAAATACAGATAAAGAGTGTTTTGCAGCATTTCAGGAATGGCACAAGCATTTGCAAAGAGGAAGATAAAATAATCTTTAAAGCCCTGATTTTTATGCCACAGCTCCTCCACACCTTTCTGGTAAGTACTTTAAGAAGAATATAAATTACATCAACAAAAGGATATGTAATTAGATTTTACAACCATTGTAAGACATGTTTACACCTCTAGATTGGTATAAAAATCTGTAGGATAATTAAGTACCGGGTCCTTAAAGCTTTCATACATTCCCATAATTACTGGGTTGTGCTGGATTTGGAGCACTGGACAGTACATGGTCTCTACTTTATTGGTTGTAAAACAATTAAACTGTTTTAAGAACTTCCAGATTTACACTGCATCAGTTAATTTACAATCAGCGAAGAATATGTAGTTGTTTGTTAATTGTTAGTAGGAGGATGTTATAACATGATTAGATACAGTTTGAGGTTGTAGGGAGATCTTTAAGAAAAGATTATTCATATGCAACACTAATTAACCACAACAATTAAAGAAGGAAACTATCTATATTTTGTCTTAAGGCCTGTAAAGTCTCACAGTTTAGAGAAGTCTAGACACATTCAACCTCTTTCTAGAAGTATTTATTGCAGCCCTTGAAGTGTTTTTCTTAGTCTTCTCCTTGCAGCCAGGATTAATGTTTTGTATCCCACTAAAGACCAGATCTCTGCTGAGAATTGGTTTGCACACTGAATTTCAATCTCTTTTGTGAATATGCTTGTAATTCATTACTTTATTTGCACATTTTAAGCTATAGCACCTTAACCTTCCATCTATTAAGTCTCAGGTTTGGAGTTCACACTCTTTTTCTTAAACCCTGCAATTGACTCTAATTTCCCTTGATATTATGTGCTGTTATTATCATCCTTTATTGATTGGCTGTCTGTTGTCCTGTATAAGGATATAAATCCTCTGTTATAAATGAAGTGTAGTCAGTCCAGCATTTATATTAATCAGCAAGAATGTTTAGACTTCAGGACAACCTGCAATGGCTTGTTTGTCTTTCTGTAGTTTCAAAAAATGCTCACTGGTGGGTAGACACAGAAGAAAACTGGATAATTCTTGTTTATTTTATATCAGTATTTAATAATAGCAGTAAATAACTATTTCATGATGCTGCCATCTTCTAATAAATGCATTGCTGGGTTTCTGTGCAAATCACCAAAGGCATATGATCTGTTCTAAAAATAGTTTGAAGCCTTTTTTCATTTAGGAAAAGGAGGCTGGTTGGTATTGGTATCATCTGAAGCTGGATTAATATCAAGTCTCCATGTGTAATGTGCTAGTGTCCAAAACTCTTTCTCCTTTATCTTCCCTGTAGCTGGGAAATGACAGGAGAAGCCAGTGGCTGTTTCTTGCTCTGGAATGTCCTTCCTAAACCAAGCCAGCAGGAGTAAGAAAAAGCTGTGTGTAAAAGTGCCTTGTAAATCATATTCCGATTTTAATACGAGCAGAGATAAATGTCAGAGAAGCACACTCCCATCTATCCCCCTTCCCTGCTACCACCACTGCTGCCTTTACTCTGACACGCACTAAATGATGTGAGCTAGCTGGCAAGAACCTGTCTGTCTGAAGATGAAAAATACCCAAAACACCTCATATTAATCAAGTGTGGTACGCAGTCGAAATCTGGCAGGAAATGAACGCGGGGAGCAGATCAATCCATTGGCAGGAGCAGATCAGCACATTGGCATCTTTGTCATAGGGACTATTGACTGGCCATATAAGCTGTGGATTTATACCAGAACCTAGTCTATTAATCCCTTATTAGTTCTCTGGCATTACTTTAGCCACTGATAACTAATCTCAAAGCCCTTCGAAAATCACCAACTTCTAGAATGTAGCCCAACTCATAAGATGCTGAAAGATCTAAACTTGTAGAGAAACTGGCACATGTCAGTTAGATAAAATGTCAGAAAGACTTACTGGCAAAGCACTGAACTAGGGTCAGACAGTTTGACTGTCTCTAAATCTTGAAAGTCTTTTCAGACTGATATTCAACCTAATCCTTTGATGCTCTGTATATATAGGTCTTTCTTCATCAGAGCTTCTCCAGCTGTTCCTTACTTTGATGTTCCCTTTCACAGGGATTTGTGCCAGCCTTCTGCACAGGGCAATTTTTACTTATTTAAACAGTGTCCAGCAGGACTTTTCATTGCCATATGAAAACCTGAAGTTTCCTGATACCTTTTCATACAAGAATAGCTTTGTGAGATGTATAAACATCTTTCTGGATGGTGTCTGTGCTCTGTACTGTTGGACATGTTTACCTGTTCCTGCAGGTTGATTTGAGAAAGCAGAAGCTTCCATCCTTTACTTCGGGTCTGTCCCTTTTATCTCACTAGCATGAATGCTTCTGAGCTTCTCTCTCTGAAAAACTCCCACTGTTCCTTGGATTTAGGCAATGGAAGATTTTTAAGTAGAGATGCTGCTTTCATTATGCTCTTTGCATTGCCATTAACCTGCTTTTGTTTCTACTTCAAGAGCTATGTCTTTTGATGCATATCCCAAAAGCCAGTCTTATGTCCTAAACTTCATAGGTTTTAACATGTAGTTCAATATTGTTTGGGTTTTTTTCCCCTTCTGTGCTGTGCATGGACACCTCAAAAGGCCAGCAAAGTCTGAGCAAAAGGTCCTTCCTGCATAAAAGAGTGGGAAAGTCACTGGACTAGTGAGCCTTGATGGTTAGATGAGAAGGACAAAAGCAAGATGAGTCTGTTCAGCCAGGTCCAAAGTAGTTCCTTCTTCAGGCAGCAGTAGGAGGGGAATCAGAGACATTTATAAGACTGAGACAGAAGATCTAGAGAAAACCTAGTTAACTGAAAGCTTCCTACTTTATGTAGGAAATAATCTTGAAAAAGGAATCTCTGAATAAGGAATGTCCTCTGCTATCATTCAGTTTTACCTCAGCAAAAGGAGATTTAACCCTTGTTTTTCCTTAGGCTTTCTTGGCAAAAACACCACGTTCACTTCATTTGGGGAAAGTACCAAAACAGCCTTGGAGCATCCATGGCCATTTTTGGCCCAGATGTGTTGGCTATATTTAGTATCTCTCAGTTTTATCACTTTTAGATGTCATTTGCCATCTGCTGCTTTTTGGGTTGTTTTTATTTTGTTTGGGGTTTTTTGCCTTTTTTTTATCATTTCACAAAGGCTATGAAATTATCAGTGGTCACAGTGAGGCCCCTGGCCCCCAGCTCTTAATGCAGTTAAACCTTGACCTTCTGAGAGGTATGGAAGAAAGGGGGAAGGCATTTCCCAGCTGTGAGAGGCAAAACTCATCAGTTATTGCCAAATCTCACGCTATTGAATTTCAAATCTCGACGCGGATAGAATTGCAGAGAGCACTTTTTCTGTGCCTCTGCTGCAGTTCACAGCACAGCCAAGGATGTCAGGGGGAGTGTAGGGGAATAGGCTTCCCAGGAGGATCCATGCCTCCACGGCACACCCTCCCCAGCACTCACACCAGGGAGGTGCAGCTCAGCACCCCGAGCCAGAGCATGAAAGGATCAAAGAAATCCTCACGTAGAGAGAAGAACCTGCAGTTCATGAGCCTGTCTTATTGAGACATGGAAGCTGCCACCTCAAAGGTCAGCAGCTCTGGAGGAGATGGAGACTTTTCTACAGGCCTCTGTTGAAGACATATTTAAGACCAGTAGTCTGGCTGTCAGAATCTCTGTGGGGTTTACATGCTATTTGCACATAGCTAGAGACAGAATAATTACATGTACACATGCTTAACCTTAATGCCTTCTCTTCTCTCAATTATCTCGTCAGCAAAACCCTTTTAATGGCTTTTATTCAGAGTGCTTCCATGACCTTTTCTACTTAGAATGCTGTGCATTAACTGGCAGTCCCGGGGGCTGAGCTCTGAACAGATTTCCAACCATATGAACTTTATCAGAAAGAAAGTAGCAGTTGTTTTGTCTGACCACTTTGATCTGCAATTGCATGATGACTTCCAGACAGGTCTCCACTGTGAGGTGGTTTAGGGACTACTTGCAAGCATGATGAAGTACAGGTTCAAAACTGAGCATGTAAATACCTGGGGATTACTCTTGAAACATCTATTTGACATTGGTAGCTTCTGTACCACTTGACAACAAGAAACTTATGGGAAGCGGATAGATATCTACCACTAAATTAGAAAATCATTTATGTGGACTTTCACTGTTTCAGTAATTTACTAATCATGATCTTGGACAAGTATCTGAGTTTTGAAGTGACCACAAGGTCAATTCTGATTTAGCTTCTGTCAAACTTCTTTTCTTTTTTAAATGCAAAACTGTTCAGATACCCAAGGAAGTCTTTAATATCAGGACATAAAAGAACTTTATACTGGCACTTTGAAGTAAATTTGTGATTATAATGCCAATATTTTACTGATTAAAAACATAAAAATGCATTATATTATGTCTTCTACAGTATAATTAAGCTTATGCATATCAGATGGACCAAGTTCTTTCCATCTTTCAAATGCATTCATTGAGATGCAGATGCTGATTTTCCAATAAAGATGTCCAAAGAGGAATTGTAATATAAATCATGAAGTCCAACATTCTGAAGGTTTTATGTTTTCTGGTCATAATTTTTACCATTTTTCTTGTAGTAGGTACTTTTTGTGCTATGATGGTTTATTCTTGTTTCAGGAAATTATCTCTGAATGAAAAAAATATTTTTCTTTTTAAAGTAAATAACCCTACCTACCAGTGCCCAGGTTCTGCATTTCTTCCAGTGTGGCTGTCAGTGGGCAGCACACAGGTTATGTATGGATTTTCTGTACAATAACAGTGCTAAAAAATCAACCTAAAAAAAAATCAGATGCACAGGGTTGCTATGCAGCAGTTCAACGTGGGGAAATGGAGGGAGTGGAGCCCTCAGCTCAGCTGACTTAGCCTTTCAGACAGAAGGAGATTAATCTATCAATGGTAGATCCATCTTAGATAGATCAATCTATTAATGATATTCAGGTGACTTCCTGATAACAAACCTGAAGGCTCCTAAAACAATTTTCTTCTGCAGTAACAGTTCTCTGGCAGTTACAATATCTGAATATGCAATTATACGGGAAAGAAAGAATTTCAATCTAAAAAAATCTTAAATATGTAGTTTCTCTGGTTAAAAAGAGGTGCAGAGCTGAATTTTGAAGCCATGGTGTAGTCATCAGGGAGTTTGTGAGACAGGGCATGAAAGTGGATGTTCTTGTCATTTCAAACCTGCCATCTTTGAGGTTTTCTCCTTTTTTCTGTGTTGTTACTTCTAGCTTGTGGATACCTTTCATTAGTGTATACTTCCTAGCTCTGTTGGCTGCAATTTTACTGTAGCTTGTACACCTATTAAGAATAAAGCCCTGTTATATCCTTTTCAAATGAACATAGCTTTCTGGGGAAAAAGGGGTAGTGTTACATTTTTGAACCTGATGTCTTGATTTCCTCTCCATACAAAGACTCATCTTCCAAAAGTAATTTGAAAGTTTAAAAGTTCGTGACCTGTTTTGAAAAGTGTGGAGCAAACCACCATTCCTCAGTGGGAATTGTAGCTACCTTTTAAAAGCACAGGTCATTGGGCTTTGATATAAATTTTCCCTTGGAAGCAGAAGGAATAAAGCTTTCCAGGATTCAAAACCACTTGTGGATAGTCCCTCTGTCACAGAATACAAATGCACGTAGATGACAGTGGTACTATTTTTTAAGCTTTATTAAACTTAGTTTATAGTATTCAAAGCTTATTAGTCCATTTTTTATGCTCAAATAACAGTTTTCCTCTTAAACTTACTATAAGCTTGGTAATTTCAGATAAACAGACCTGTCTATTGGCATTCTTTCTTCTGAGAACTACAGAAATGACTTTGTAGAGCAACAAGTTGAAGAAATTGCCTGGAAGGTACTTAGAGAGATGTATTAAATGGCAAAATATTTAGGTGTTGTTTTTTGTTGTTTGAAGGCAGCACGCCTTCATGTTCTGTGATTTCTTTTGTATTGAGAAAACATCTGTCTAATTAAATACTTGGCATAAAATGTTTATGCAACTTTTAGTAGATTAGAGGATGTATTGGCTCAGAATATGTATAATCAATTCAATATACATGAATGAATGTCATATCAAGATAAACTGAGAACATCTCCAATTCCCAAGAAAAATCTTTATTGCGTGTGATTTGACTGGTCCTAATTCTTTAAGCAGCAGTAAATAATAAACAGATGCTGTTGCCAGATTATAATTCACAATTAGAACTTTAATTGTGTGGACTCCATGTTTGCTTCTCTGATCTGGGGAACTGTGCAGTATTAAAAGACTCAAGAAATTTCTTTCTGAAACTGTTCATTCTCTGTGCAGTCATGGATAATTGAAAGAGATGTGTTCACCTATCATTACCTAGCTTCTGTCTCAAGTCTTTATGAGAAACTCATGTGTGGAATAATAAGCTGCAGAAATCATTTCATCCCCTCCCCCTGAAAGAATCTCCAATACAGAATGAGAAATTAACCCAATTACCCTTCTTTCCAAATCACTGCTGGCTACTGTTTCACAAGAAGTGCATCCTTCTCTCAAGGTTGTTATTATTTCGTGACTCACAAGTGGCAGTCGGTGGGTTCTGTGCTCATCTTTCTCTGTTTTCCCCCCTTACCCCTCCTCTGCTCTGCTTTGTTCCCTTTCTGCTGGCTGGGAGCAGTGCCTACAGCTCCACCACAGAACGTGCAAGTCGAAGCTGTGAATTCCACAACCATCCAGTTCCTCTGGAACCCTCCACCCCAGCAGTTTATCAATGGCATTAACCAAGGATACAAGGTAAATAGAAGCAAGATTTTTGTAACTTCGCCTAACCTTTGCCTTAACAGTCTTGGTATGTAACAATTAGAAGTTCAGTCTAATAATCTCTGAGTCTTCAAAGTGATGGGAGATTTTCAGGAGTATTTTGGATGAGTAAAATGAAGAGAGAAGTGAGCAGGTTTTGCCTCTAAAATTTGCAATTTATGTAAGTTCTGAAAAGGGAATATGTCACATGCTAGAAGTCCTAATATCTTTGTCATTTACTTGGAGAATTTCCAAAGCCAAAAAGCAGTTTGATGTCAAACAGTTTGGAAAGTCAACACAGGAGATATGTTGTGCCACTGAAAACCAACCTTGAGATTTCTGTCTACTCCAATGCAGAATTCCCGTTCATTTCATTAGGAACCAAGACATCACACTAAATACTTGTCTTAACTTTCCCATTGTGATGATTTGGGTGAGAGAAGAATGTAAAATTTGTTAATCATGCTTGATGACACAGTGTTAGCATGATAAGTCCCTGTTGATGGGACAACTGGTAATATCCATTACAGCACGCAGAGCAGAGAGTGCTTAACAGAGCACTTGTTGGTACTCTGACCAGTGGAGTGTATGCTAAGAAGGTAGCTGGAGTGCTTTATTTCTGTCTTTCAGGAAGGACTGCTTAATAGAAACTCTTTCAGTGGTTCAGCAATAGGGGCATAATAAATGAAGGGTTTAAAAATATTCATGGAAAGAATGAAGAGAAATCTTGTAGGAATCACAGAGCAGGGGGAGGGAAGTAGGTTTTATGGGCAGGGAGAAGGAAGGTTGATTTAGGTGTGAGAAGCTGTGAATTTGAGGGATTGTAGGTAGATTTAAGAAGTTTCAGAAGACTTGATCCTTCTCTCAGGATATCTCAAAGTGATGGAGAGAGTAAGACAGAATTAAGCATGGGAGTTTTAGTAGTTTTTGCCCAGATCTATTTATGTCTGGGAAAGGGTTTCAGAAGCCCAGTGCTGGAGTACTATATACATGTAGATGTGTACATCCATTTTTCTCAGGGATGGAATCTCAGGACTAGGTGACTGACAGGGCTGCAGGAGTATATCCTGACACCTCAGTACAGAAGTAGTACTTGGCTTCTGTTCAGACTCTGGAGAATAAAAGCACTTTTTGGGCTCAGTGGACTGCAACGCACTGTAATTTTCTGGTGCAAGTCCAAGCATGGTGAGCTCAGCCAGATTTGCAGAAGTCCTGTTTCAGATTTTTACTCTTTGTTTTATTCAAAGTTTCAGTCTAAAGTTCCTTAGTCTTACCACATAGATACCTCCAATTTCTTTCAGATTCTTTAGCAGTGGTACAGAATAACTGAAATTGCAAAATTAATCTGTCCGTGGTCAGTTGAAATGATGAAAAAAACTTGATAAAAATTTCTCTTCGTTTGGATTTTTTTTTTTATTGCAGTAGGTGACAACAGTTTTACTCTTCCTGTTCCTCATAGGCATTGTGAATTGTAGTACAAAGACTATGCGAGAGCATTTCTGTCTGTTACTTCTATAGCATAGGTTTTTTTGGTATGATTTATAAATTAATTGTAGTCAAAGGCAGGCCTTTGATTTTCTTGAGGATTAAACCCATTTTTTCCTTTAGCTAACAGAATTGTTCACCTTTGTTTTCTGCACGTTTCCTGAAGAACATGAAATGAAATATACTCAAAAAAGAGTTAAATCCCCCAAAGTTTTAAATACCAATTGTAATCCACAGAGGTGATTTAGAAAAGAAAATAAAACTTACTATCCCATCAACCACTGTCTTTTGTTATCTTTGCTTTGAAATTTATTTGCATTTCAAGAAGTTGTAAAGTGCACCTTTTCAAATATGAAATACTCCTAGCAGAATTACTCCTTATGGTCCTCTAACTGTACTTGCTGATTATTGGAAACTATAGACATTGGCTAAATGTGTCAAATACAGCTCATTAATTTTGGGCATCTATTCATGTTTATGAGCCTGAAATCAATACAAGTAGAACACTTCCCACAGATATTGAGTAAGGCCTAGAATTTTAACATGCTTATATAAGCCCCATGATAAGGATTTTTGGACAAAATAAAAATTCATAAGCATTTTAAAGCTTTAGGCTCTTGAGCTTTTAAGATTATTTCAGAAATTGTTTTAAAATTTCAAAGTCGTTTGCTAGAAATTAATTTTTGAAGTCCTCGTTTAGGTACCTACACAAAAGGTACTCTAAAAAAATATTGATCACCCAGAAGATACACTGAGACAAATGAAACCTGGAAGGATGGGAACATCCACCAAGCATGCTATTTTAAATGCATGAAAATGTCTTTGGGAGTCTAACTTTTAGGACCCAGGTATTGAAAATTGTAATAATCATCTTTACAGCCATTTTCTACTCTTTCTGTAGCTCCAGAACCACTGGAATCATTCACAGTGTGGATACCCCTGAAACAATGAACACTAGAATACTCTTAGCCTGTCAGGCTAGGCTGATCAATGGGATGCTGGAGGTGACGTGGGAAGGAAAGGAGGATGTGTGGTCATCCCTCCCTCTCCCTTATCTCATTGAGATCTTTAAAGGAACACTAAAATAAGATAAAGCATTTATCTCAGAGTGGCGTTGAAAGTATTTTTCTTCCTTCAGCTTCCTTTCAGCAGCAGAGACTGTCCAGGCTGGTCAGAGCAGCCCAGAGAGAGATAAAAGACACATGTAATACAAGTAATAATTTGCAATAATTTGGCATTGTTCAGCAGCAGGCAGTGAGAACTGCAGCACCTCCACGGGATCAGTATGTCCCCCATCAGTGGCCAGTGTTACACCACCCCTCCAGTCATCCTGGTAACAGTGCTGCATCCATCTGCTCAGCCTCAGAGCTGACAGGCGTTTAGCAGCATTGCTTGGGTTTTTTTACAATCAGATTAAGATGGTTTTGGCAGCCAAGCTGACTTTGATTCCAAATAGACACAACTTCTAATGAGAGCTCATCCATGTTTAATTTTTCTAGCTTCTGGCATGGCCAGTGGATGCTCCAGAGACTGTGACTGTGGTCACCATTGCTCCCGATTTCCACGGTGTTCATAGCGGCTGCATCACCAACCTGAAGAAATACACTGCTTACTACACATCAGTCCTGTGCTTCACCACGCCTGGTGATGGGCCACGGAGCACACCCCAGCTCCTGCACACCCTGGAAGACAGTGAGTAGGCAGAACGGGGAGAGAATTTTGTTCAGTTGACTATAAAAGCCAGAATTTTCAAATCTGAGCATTTAAAATTTGCCATATTCACAATCAGTTTGCAATCTCTTTGTCTGTCAAATTGCTTTGCATCAGGCAATAATTTCAGCTCATGTGTTTTCTTTTAGCCTGTGGGACAAGAATGACTTTTGGTATTTTTTTCATTAGGGACCAAACCTGGATGAATTGTTTTACGTTGGTCAGAAGCTGAATGCTTCATAGTCTGATTCAGCTAACGTGCAACACATTGTTTGTCTTTGAACCCTTATGCTCTTAAATCCATGTTCAGACATCCAATAAATATGAATTGATCTTCTTGGGAATTGAGCACTGGAACTTCCTGTGGAGGTCAATGATTGATTTATGATGATTTCCTTCAGTTATTCAAAATATTGAAAATGTATGTATCTGTATTACAAGTGTTTGTATAAAAGAACCAGAATCATAACAGTGCAGTAACTTTTATTCTGCAAAACTGGAGTCAGAGTGAAATAAAATGAGCTGGGCAGTTTAGTATATAAATTATTCCCTGCATCAGAAAATGTTTTGGCCTCTGTGGCTCCTTGGAAGTGTTTGCTCTAGACATATTTGGGAGTTACAAGTCTAGTGTGTGTCTGATGCAGATAATAACTAGATGCTAAATTGCAGTGGCCCTCACAGATAAATGTGTGCCCACAGTGATCTTGATTGTGGCCAGTGCTTTAGTATATTCCTGGCATGGAGCATCATAACCACTACTGCACACTTACAGATCCAAATCAGAACAAAAAAAATGTCTAATAAATCCATTAAGGTATCATGTATAGAAATACTAATTTTGGATCTTCTAGGTTAGTCAGTGCTCCCATAAAGAAAAATATGATTGTTATTAATATTCACAGAAGTGAAGCTCACAGTGCTAATCCAGTTTTTCATGAGATACCCTTGGAAGAACATGAAGTAAATTAAATAACTTCCCATGTCTTTTCCCTTTGTGGTTAGTCTCCTTCATATGCTAAACCTGTGCCCCAGGAGCAGATTGTAGACTTAAAAGTTTGCTTGTTAGAAGATCACAGATACAGCAATTTAACAACCAAAAATGTATGTGAACCAGTAATATGAACCCATACATGTTTATCTGAGGTTAAAGCAAAAGGCATGGAGGAAAGAAAAACATGCATTAGGTTCCTGTTTTCCTAAGGAAATGAAGCTTTTGACAATGTTCACTTGTAAATGTATTCAACTATCTGTCTTAAATCCATCTGTCTTTCTCACTCCAATGACATTTGAACCCTGTGGCTAGTTTCAGTGAGTACAGAAGAGTAAGAAACCAAAGATATGAGACTCATAAGATTTCATGAAAATTAGTTAGCTGGAGAGAAGAAAGAGATTATTAATATTTTTGTCACAGAAATGAGCCTTAAAACTCACAAAGTGGGAGAAGGGGCAGAGGATTGAGACATGGAGAGAATCTCAGGGAGATATTTGGATCATGTGCCATTTTAAACACCAAAAAAATTCCATCATGAAACATAAACCAAGAGAAAGCCCAGACTCTGGTTTGTAAAACATTTAAGACATCTCTTGGTGTATGCAGCTATATGTTGCAAGGAGGCTCTGCAATAGAGATGAACAGGATTATTTTTTTAATCCTTCAGAATAGTTTTCCTTGGTTTTCATGGTGACTGAGAAATTAAGTGTGGGATGATATAATGCATCTTTGCAAAGGACTCATTGACTCTTAAGTTGCTTCAGGTTTTATGTGGTGGGGAAGAAAAAAATTTGTAAGGACTGTCATTGATGTTTTCAGGTGATAATTTTCTATCTGTATAGCAAAGTTGGGGAACCCTTTAGAAAAATAATAATGAAAATAGACCTGTTTGCTGATAAACTGTAGGTCAAATAAGATCTGACATTTAGCCAGAAGCATTGTGTCCTGGCTTGGACAGCCTGCACCTGTTTTTCATTATGACATTAAAATTAGACTGCAATTGTAGGAGCTAATTGAAGTAAAGCTTTGGGAGAATACAGATTGCATGTCTGCAGATCCACGGTCCCAAATAGTGTGTAATTCTTGTGCTCTTGTTGGTCATTCCTGAGATCACTACCAGATCAGCAGTTCTTCCTGTAATGCTTTGACTAGTAGATGCCACAGAATGGATTTGGAAATTTTCCTCACTAGGACTGCAGAACTGCAAATGTGGTTGTAGGCGACCTGCTGGCAGGCTTTGTTGGTTTCTTTTTTTTTTTTATCATAGCTGGAGGGGAATGAGAAAGTGGACTAAAGTGAAGAGGAAACAAAATATGAAATTGCAGACGAGAAATTGCCAACTGATGTCACTAGAGCTGGAGGATATTCGGGCAGGGATCCAATGACAGAAGCACAGTGAATATAAAGCGAACAAAAACTCCTTTTTCCAGTACATCGATTGAAGACAGAACAGCAGTTGGATCAAAAATCAGTCAGGATGTCTTCCTTGAAGATCAAAATTGAGAGAGGATGGCATATTCTTGACAGTCATTCCATTTTATGCTCTTTCATTGCACACTTGGGAGCTGAAATTTTTAAGAGCTCTTGAGCTACATCATAAAAATCCTTTAAAAGTTTCACACACTTGTATTCATTTTACAAAAGACAAGTTGCCATTACGTTGGACGTTTTTAGAGTTGTTTTGAGAGTAACTATCCAAGCAGTGACTCGGTGACTCTGTCCTTGCTTTGACCTTGCATAGACAAAAGGCTCTTCCCAGGCGAGGGGGGTGCTGGGGGTGATGCTACAGACTTAAGGCCAGATAAGCCACACACAGCAGCACAGGTACACACCACACGCTGTCACTGAGGAGAAACAGCAAATGCAGTCGCCTCCAGGATTGCCAGCTTGATTGTTCTAATTAGATTAGATCAAGAAGGGAGGCAGAGAACAAGTTGCATGTAAGTCTCCTGCTGCCTCTCTCTGTAGTTCTCTGCGCCGTTAGGATGGTGACTGGATAAAATAATTTATGTGATGATAGGCAGAGTGCTTCTTAACACCTTGTGTTCTCCCCTCTCCCCTGCTGCTCTCACTGATGTTTCCAGCAGGTTTCCCTTGGCCTCGTCTCAGTGTTTTATTTCTTCAGCCCTAACCTTGCCACATGAATCAGATCAAAAGTAAGTGGGGTTCTCCTGTTAACAGATTTCCTTTTCTGATTGCCAGAGCCAGGAGCGGTGGGACACCTGAGTTTCACTGAGATTCTGGACACGTCTCTCAAGGTCAGCTGGCAAGAACCTGTAGAGAAAAATGGCATCATTACAGGCAAGTATCAGCTGCTATCTCCTTTTGCCTTTTGTAAGTGTTTGTGTGGGGTGGAATGTATCATTGCAGTGGAAAAATGTTTACGTAATAGAGAATTGGGGGAGAACTGGCCACTCCGAGAGCTGCTCTCCTGGTCTTTCTTTGGGTAACTGAAATGTCAGCTAGGGCACATTATAGAAAGTACAGCTCCAATTACTGGCAGCTCATGATTGTGGTCACTGAAAAGGCAGCCTGTGTTAGAAATCAGCTCCCCATGGAGTTCCTGGTCTTGTTAAATCTTCTGTGACCTTCAACTGTGCTACTAAAATTATGAAACTTTGTGAGAAAGTGTTTGGGCTTTGCCCCAAAGGTGGGGGGTTCTTACATGGAGTTTACAGCTGCAGAGTCTAGATTGACATTGCTAAGATCTGCAATCAAGATCAAGCCTGAAATCAGCAGTATCCTTCATCTGTGATCAAGTGGTCTGACTGGACTGCATGACAGAATTTGCATGTCATTACTTAATTTTGTACAAACCATCAGAAGGGTTCAGAACTCTCCTTTCCCTTTGATGAGCTTGCCATTTGACAGCTATTTATCTATTTACTGTATGCCAGTGTAGATACAACATCAGCAACTTCATTATTTTTTCATAAAGGGAGCTATAAATAGTTGAGGGAAAACTCTAGTTCTTATCAGCAGAGGCAATATTGTTTTCAGATGGGAAACTATTATAGCTGCATGGGGTGGACATTCCATTTAACAAAGGCTTTCAAGGTTTTGAAGTGCAAGAAAGCTCCTAAAGTTTAGATTACTAGAGTTAAAAATCATACTTGGGCAGGGGGAAGATAATTTCACATGGATCAAAATATTTTGTTTTGGGAGCATTGACATTGAAATGTTTATTTTATTTTTTTTTAAGAAACTGTTTTATAATCTGTAAAAAGGAAATACATTTTAGGAGTTAAAAAAAAAAAATCAGATTTTCTGGCCCCTGACCATTGAAATGTTCTATCAGTCTAATTTCCCGAAGCATTTTAATTTTGACAGGTTTTGTTATTTTGATAGGACTGGCACTTGTCAAGTCTTTTCTCTCTATATCTGTAACATTTGTCCATGTGTCTTCCACACTGTTTATAGTATATGTGGAATCCTTATGCAGATCATCTGCCTTTATACCATAGTAACCTTCCTGAAATATGCATTGATTTAAGGGGTTCAAGAACAGAAATTACTGACTTCTGAGAGCAGAGCAGCAGTGATTCAGTAAAGATGGCCAAAGCCACCAAGCTTCAGCGCTTAAACTTAGGTACCTAAATCCAAGTCTAAGTAAGATGATGTAATACTCCTCATTAAGCACAAGTTAGCAGCACTATGCTTAGTGTTGCAGAACTGATTTGCTAGAAACAAGCTGCTGCCTCTCAGAATGGGTTGAAACCTGGTGGAGCACAATGATGGAGTGTGTTATATTTGGGGCAAATTGTTTCAGAAAGAATTAACTCAAGAAGCTCTATTGTTCATGAAGAAACACCAGTGTAAAAATGCCCAGCAAAGTTCATAAGGAAAAAGAAATGTCCTTAATGGTGCAAATTGCATTTGGGATAGAAGAAAAGAGCAGCAAAATTGTTCATGCCACGAGTACCTCAGGGGATTATAGAGGGCTACTTGGAGATCTGAGTGCTTAGGGAGGCAATTATTCATCATTTCTGCTCGTTGATATCTTTACTGGACCTCCTGGTTCTGTGCAGTGGAGCTGGGAGGAGGAGAGCAGGGAGGGTGGTGCCCAGCAGCCAGCCTGCTCTGGGAAATTGCCCATTACTCTTGCTGTAAATTTCTGTGTCTTCCTCGTTCTCTCAGTAAACATTGATTTATGAGGACCTGGATGTAGACGGACAGTTTGTGATTGGGTGTACTGCTCTCTTGTAGAGAATTTACTCCAGATCAACAGAAAATTATTTCTGAAACTCCTCTGGTCATTAGTTTCTGTTAGGCAGCATTTTGTGGGGAGGGTGTAGTGCCACAGCATACGGGAAGGCTCCGGGGCACCTTTCCTCTTCCCACATACACTGGAAGCAGAGGAGACACTCAGCCCAGGCTGGCTGGACTCCCCCATGCACTTTTCTGGCAGTGATCATGTCTGTCAAATGGAGAGTGCATTTTTACCAACCACATGTCCTAAAGTTCTGCCCATCTGTCAGTCACTGTGGCTTAAGTGCTACTTGGGGGTACAGTGGATGTTGTTCCTTTCCTTCAGCTTTTTTTCCATCTATTTTTGTGATGCATGATTACATTGGGCTTTGTGTCTGCTCAGTATCTATGTATGCATTTTCTGTTTGCATTTTTTTGTGTGACTAGAATTTAAATATACTTTCAGGAGTGAAATATCCAACAGTAAATGCTGTCTCTTTGCCTTTTTTTTCAATTTGCATGTAAACTCAGGATATATTTCCCAGTGAACGTTTTTTTCAGTAAATAAATACATAGAGACTATGTTCCTAACGGGTGGGAAAGCTGGGTCTCATCCCTATCGTCACAAGGGAGAAAACACAAAGTGTTCAAAGACTAATCACCAACATTTGATGCTTATCCAAAGCTTATCTAGATGGGAGATAAGATGTCTCAGTTGCTTAAGGTTGTCTGGTGCATGGTGGGTGAAACTTTCTATTGTTCATAAGTAACAAATGGATAGAGGGAGCATTAAAAGCCCCCTATTCATCTTCTGGTTATTTATTGCTTTGAGCAACCTGTTTTGTTTCATTCTGAAGTGTGATGTTCCTCGAGTCCCTCTGCCAGCCCATGTGTAGGGTTCAACACAGGCATAGCAGGGTTGTCCACAGCTCCCAGGCAGACAGATGAGCCATGGCATGGCCCTTGCCCAGCCTCTGCTCCATCCGTGGCTGCACAGGGGTGTTCTGCTGGCTGGGGACATGGCTGCTGGTTTTGTCTCCTCTGTTCAGAACTGGTGAGAGGCACAATTGCATCTTCCTTGGACTCCTCCTCATTCTTCCATCTTGCCCTGTGTGGAACAAACAGCTCCCATGACTTTTGCAAGAAAGGGGTGTTTGTAATGGCTCTTCTATTTGCAACTCCTACGTGCCTCTTCTTGCCATTCAGACTTACTTTGAAGTGGTTCCAGATGAACATTCAGGAGTCTTTCCCCTTCCCCTCTGTAGTGCATAGTCAGATGAGTGGTTATGGTGTAGCTGAAATGGTTGAAGTAACACCTTTTTTCATCGCTGCCCCCTCACCTGAACCATAGTTAGTAACTATGTGAGCACTCTGAGCCTGTTTTCATGCAAAAATAGGTTAATGGGAACCTGTCAGTGATGGCAGCCAGCACCAGAGGAAGGATAACATCTCACACCTCTCAAACTCTTGCAGAAATATTTGTCTCACCATGCTTTTAGTTGATGAGGTTATGTTTTTCTGTTGATCAATACCATAAGGTATTTTGCTATGTCAATTTGTGTATGTTAATCAACTTACTGTGTTTGGGGTTTTTTTTCACAAAAAAATAAAACCTTCAAGGCTGCCAACTGGTCTGAATTCTTCATTTTAGATGATGGGAACAGGAACCCAGTAGGGAGTTTCTCTAGCCAGCTTGCCTCATGCATGGCTCACTCAGTGGGGTTCCTTTCTGTTAGTCCTTTTCACTCACTTCCATTTCACAGGCATTCAAGTGCTATGCACGGTTTTTGGGGTTTTTTTGCCCAAGTCAAATCACAAAGAAAGCTGCAATCAAGCAAACGTTTCAGACATGCTCTCTGGAGACTGGCACAGTGAGGTTCAAATGGGTTCAAACAAGAATAAAGTGGGACTGGGCAGGAGGAGGACAAGCAGATTTGGAGGTAAAATTGAGCAAATCAGATAGTAGAAAGTTTCAAAAGTTCTTGGAAGGCAAATGGTTATAAAAGTGATAAAAAGGAAAGGCTGGTTATTATAGAAGAGTAATATGGAGGTCAGAGTGAGTGCAGTTTTGGACAATGCATTGGCTACACTATGGTTTTGAAAGAAAGAATGATTCACCCTGCTAAAGGATTTGTGCGAGGAACAAGCAGTGGGGAGTAAAGGCTTTTCAGTTCCTAGAAGATTCCCCCAATGATCCTGCCTGATTTTTACTGTCAGATTTATAAGTATTTCTAGAGATACAGCAGTGAAGGTTACTTCAGCCTGGAAAGGGAGTAGCCCTGCTAAGCACATATAGATTTTTAATTAGGTGTTCTAGCTGGTGAGAGGATATTATATTTTCCAGTGTTTCTTTCTGTTTGCTTTGTAGAGTTCACAGGATGAAAGTCCACCCTCCTGTGAGATTATCCCCAGGTTTCCTAGCTACTTCATATCAAGTATTGTATCATCATAGAAAAAAGAAACAGTCTGTTGAGACTCCACATCCTCTCCCATCTGTAATCTGATGGGCAGATGACACCTGATGTCATATTACCGTTGATCACAAGCAAATCTTGCAGGCGTGGGAATTTACCAGTCTCTGGGTTATTGTACCATTGTGCTTTAGAATTAAAACTAACCCCACTATTTCTGTGGCCCCCTGACTTGTGTGTGACTGTTTTTCAGGGTACCAGATCTCCTGGGAGGTGTATGGCAGGAACGAATCTCGTCTGGCCCGCACGCTGCCCAGCACAACGCTGGAGTACAAGATCACGGGGCTGTCCTCCCTCACCACCTACACCATCGAGGTGGCAGCTGTGACCTCCAAAGGCAGCGGGTGGGTCACCTCCTCCACCATCTCTTCTGGTGTGCCCCCAGGTCGGTGAAACTGCAGACAAATTAAAATGGGCTCATTCTTCATTTTTTGGTGTTCCAAAGTTCACAAATTACTTCATTAACAATAAAGATGGTTTTATTCAGAAAAGCATTGGTTTTCTTCACCACCTAATTTAAATTTAACTTTTAGAACAGATTAAAACGTTAACTGTGAACACACTTGCAATTTGAAATCACCAGGAATTTGACATGGTTTAACACAATCACAAAAATAGTTGTAGGGACAGCAGAAGGAATGGACAAAATGATCAAGTGGATACAATACAGAATCCATGACATTTTCAAAGTAACATAAGAATGAAGCCTGAATCAAGTGAAAAAATGTTCCTTTGAGGAAAAAACAGTTTGGATGATGTTAAAAGGGAAAGGTTTTTCTGTTTGTAAGTAGTATAGCTTATGTCATCTATGACAGGATGCTTGTAAAATAAAACTAAGATCTTATTTACAAGCTCTGGGAGTTGTGGCCTGAGAAAAGTTTGGGAGGAGGTAATCCTGGACTGTGTTGTTTGAGTACGTCTACATTTAGCCTCCTTGAGTTTGGGGTTTAAAATTCTACACTCTTCCTCATCAAGTAAAGAAAGCCAACTAAAAAGCCAGTTCATACCTCAAACAAGCAGTTTCAGTCAATTTATAAGCTATAGAAATAGAATCCTGAAAGAGGAGCAGTTAGTGTACATCACTGATGGTAATCTAGTTTTTACCTTTTCCATTATTTTTGAACTTTTCTGTATGTCTTGCAGTATGTTTGCCTTTCTGTTCCCTAATTCTAGGTAATTGTGACAAGTAGTAGACTAGATCAATGCCATGCTCCTGTTGTTAGGCAGATAACAGCATCTCGTCCTGCTTGGTGAGGGTTAGTTTATCGATCATGGTTCCCACAAATGTGAAGTAAGAATCAAGAAATACTGTATATTCATGCATAATTGAAATATATGCCAAAAAGCTGCCCATTTTTTGCCTGTTGCATTTGCACATAGAACAGCATTATGAATGATTACTGATTATAATAGTAATTTCCATTACTTATAAATGCAGGTACTATTGGGAATTTATTCTAAACAATCTATATTTAATCTCTTTCCTGTGCTTGCTTTTGTTGGTAATTCAGATAATATTAAAAATGTAAATGTCACTGTAAGCTTGACTGATGTGAGGCAAAGCTCTGATTAGGGTTACAGATTTTTCCTCATAGAAGGTCACCCTCTTTATTTGCAACACAAATTTTAAAAAATTCATCTCCTTTATTCAAGCATCAGAAATGCCCTCTAAAATCCATTTATTGTAGGTCAATATAGAAATCACAAAATCTTCCCCATACGCTATCCAAAAATTGGAGTCTTTTCCTTGCTAATATATTAAAGTTGTGTGTACTCTAAGAAGTAAGTAGAAATTATTGTTACTTAATTCTGGAGAAACAGAATTACAGTGGATTTAGGTGACTTGGCAAGTGACTGGCAGACCTGAAGCTGGGAAGTGCCTTCCCCCCTGAGCCACCACACTTTGTCAGTCGTGCATCTTTAAAATAGCAGCTGTAATTTTGTAGATGGGCTCTTTCTGTTCTCGTTTGATCTGTGACAATGTGGTGCACGCTCAGAGCAGCACAAGCAGTAGTGCTGTCAAAAAGGAAAAAAAAAAAACCACAGCTATTTGCTCTACTATAATTTCTACCAAGGTATTTTACATGCTGGAACAATGAAAGTCAACCTGTGTTACTGGTCCCTAGACAAAGAGCATTTCCACCTCTCGTTTATATTTCTGTTTCTTCAGAACTTCCAGGTGCTCCATCCAACCTGGTGATTTCCAACATCAGCCCTCGCTCCGCCACGCTGCAGTTCCGCCCAGGGTACGATGGCAAAACCTCCATCTCAAAGTGGATAGTCGAAGGCCAGGTATGTCCCTGACAAAAAGCACTTAACCAAGTTTCTGAGGGGTTAAAAAGGGTCTAAACAGTGAATTGGTGTTTGGATTACTGGTTTTGTTTAACTTGGGATCAAAGCCCTTCATCAATTTGCCTGGTTGTAGTTGTTCCATGGGGTCCTGGAAAGGTTGGAGTTCAAGGGAGCTCAAGAGGCTTAGCTGAGAAATGCCTGTGTGGCAGCCAGTGAGAAAAGGGTCATATGAATGCTGTCACTTCTGTTCAAAGAACAGAAGAAAAATATGGTGTGTGTGTATATATATATATATATGTGAGAATGCTTATCCTTTAAATAATCCACACGGATTTTTGTAAAACAACTTTGCTTATGTTCAGAAGAACACCAGATGCATCATAAGCAACACATACAGCAGAGCTTAAGTCCATCTGTTTATTTAAAAAAAAAAAAAAGGACTTGAAATATGTGTGGTGAGGTTTTGTTAGGTGAATTTTCAAACCAGATGCAAACCTGGAATTACTATCCATAGAGTCAGAAGTATAGGAAGAATTGCACTGAACAGTGAAGATACCATTATTCATGAGACTGAGTATATTTTTCTATCTTGTAATGGGTGTATTTTTCTATCTTGTGATAAAATATACTGAGGTTTTCTATCCAGGCCTCCAGATATGGATAGGATGAATTCTCTTCTTCATCAGCTTTCAACAATATCCCTCTCTCTGCTGTCATTATGCCTTGGAGGAGTTATATATTCCTCATTTGTTCTCCTGACAGATGAGCTTTGCCTCTTCCTTTCCACCCACAGATCTTTATAAATAATATAATCTGTTTTTAAGACCAAATGTTGGACTTCTTAAATCACCATCACCGCTCAGACGTGTTGATACAATCACTTCACTTGATAATGAGGATGTTGTGAACAAGTTGGTACATTCTGTGCAATTTACATACACATTATTGCATATTACAGAATTAAACACTGAAATCCTATAATAGGGTGTTTTGGCAAATTGTGAGAAGCATTTTTATGCTGGAGCATCACGTTGGTATTTCTAGGAATCTGTTAATTCTCTGAGTTGCAGAAGGCCACCGAAGTGAAATAAATTTGAATGTTTTAAAGCTGCAATAATAATTGTGATGGAGTTCATCTGCATCCTTGAAGGACCCAGGGTACAAATAGGGCTCTTGGTATGCAACGAGGGAAGGGAGGATTTTTCTTGTTCACAAACCCTTATCAGCATCTCATGTGTTAGTAGAAAAGTCAAGAGGTTAGTGGTTCTGCTAGATCCAGGAATGTTTGCTCTGCTTGGGGAAGGAGCACAGCCAAAATCTTTGCAGAGTCTGGGCAGTTCTTTTCACATCTACCCTGCAAGTTTCCTCTGCATCACACCTCACTGTTTAACTTTGGCACAAGAAATGTTGTTTCAAGTGGATTTAATATAGATAGCTATATAAATAAGTCATGCTCACATGATTAACAAAAATCTTTTCAGGATGCAGAGAAATTGGTGGCTCCTTAAGGATATAGCAAATCCTGTTTCCAGGCTGACAGCTGAATATAATCCTTTGTTCACAGCCCCTTTCTGCAAACACTCCACTCAAACTCTCTTTCTCCCTTAAAGTGCAATTTCACACACTTTTAGCCAGTCTAAACCAGAGCTCTTGTTGTCCTGCTCCTGTTCCATCTCCTCATCCTCATAATTCTTACCAAGACTTTCTTCCTCCTGCTTTCTCCATGCACTGATTCTGGCGTGATCGCACCCAGAGTTGCTACAAGACTTGATCCAGCCAAGAACAAATGAGTTTCAGGGAGGTCAACTCTGCACAGCCTGTGGGTGTGATCAGAAGAGCAACACTGCAAGGGAAGGGGTTGAGAAGAGGGTAGT